CTGCTTCAGGGGCCGGGGGCGGCTGCCCTGGGTCCAGGGGCGGCTGCTCGAGGGTCCAGGGGCGGCTGCACCAGGGGCGGCTGCTGCAGGGGCCAGGGGCGGCTGCACCAGGGGCGGCTGCTTCAGGGGCCAGGGGCGGCTGCTCTGGGTCCAGGGGCGGCTGCTCCAGGGGTGGCTGCTTCAGGGGCCAGGGGCGGCTGCTCTGGGTCCAGGGGCGGCTGCTCCAGGGGCGGCGTAGTTGGTGCAGGGCAGTGCGCGGCAGCAGCACTGCAGCAGCAGTTCAGGCGCAGCAGCGAAGCAGCAGCGTGAGTGCAGCAGTAACACGGGCCGCGTGCGGGCCAGGCATGGGCTGTAAGGGCTGCGTGCGGGCCTGGCGCGGGCTGTACGAGCTGCGTGCGGGCCTGGCGCGGGCTGTACGAGCTGCGTGCGTGCCTGGCGTGGGCTGTACGGGCTGCGTGCGGGCCTGACGTGGGTTGTACGGGCTGCGCGACGGCCTGGCGCGGGCTGTACGGGCTTCGCGACGGGCCTACGCGGGCTGTACGGGCTTCGCGACGGGCCTACGCGGGCTGTACTGGCTGCGCGCGGGCCTGGCGTGGGCTGTACGGGCTGCGCGACGGCTTGGCGCGGGCTGTACGGGCTGTGCTCGGGCCTACGCGGATTGTACGGGCTGCGCACGGCAGAAAAGGGCAGGGCAGCGCGAAACGCTGGGCAGGGCAGAAACTAACGGTCGGGCAGGTGAAAACGAATGTGGTGGGCCCTTAATTACGGTCCTAGGCTAGGACCGTCCTAGCTCTTAATACCATGTTAGAATACTAGGAAGGAATGTGTGATTGGGTCAAGGGGGGGGTACAAGAAGAATGTCGAGAGAAATGTTGTACCCCCTAGTGCTAACCCCCATACAGCCTAGATAACCTAAACATGCATATATGATTTGACACGTGTGGTGCTTGGGAGAAGGAAGGGGAGTTTCTGAACGCGAAGGTGATAGAAGGGGAGACCATGAGCGCGAAGGCGGTGCGAAGATGGGAGAACGTGAGCGCGATGGCGGGGGAAGGGGAGAACGTGAGCGCGATGGCGACGGGAAGGGGAGAACGTGAGCGCGATGGCGGGGGAAGGGGACAAGCACAAGCGCGGTGGAAGCTTGTGAAGGTTCTGCAAAGAGCGAGAGAGGTTATGATAATTTTCGCTGCGTATGAAGACTTTGGGCCTGAGAGAGGGCGGCAAAAACGCTGAGAAAACCAAAAGGAGGGAAAAAACAGAGAGAAACAATCTGAGGGAAGAGGAGAGACAGGGCGACGGAAACAATGAGGGCTACTGGACGAGAGCCCGTTTCGAGGGCGAGATGAGAGGGGAACACGAGGGCGACGGGATGGGAGTGGAGAGATGATAGGCAACGGGAGGGCGGCTCAGAGCGAGCGCAAAGGCGACGAAGTGGGTAATGGGAGGGGAGTGAAGAAGGGAGCCGCGAGGGGGTTTCAAGGCCAGCGCCAGGGCGATGGGCGAGGAGAGTCGACTGCGCGCAACGAGAGGGCATTGCGGGCTTAGGGTGACGACGATGATGTGGGTAATAGGAGGGGAGACGTGGTAGGCGACGAGAGTGCGCCTCGATTTCGAGGCGAGCGCATAGGCGACGAGGTAGGTGACGGGAGGGGAGAAAGGAAGGGCGACGAGAGGGCGTTTCAGGGCGAGCGAGAATGTAACGAAGTGGGTGATGGGAGGGGAAATGGGGAGGGTACGCGAAGTGCGACGGGTAAAGGGGGGGCGAAGGTAATGGCGAGGGAAAGGCGACATGGGCTGACGGCGACGCGGAGGTTGACGATTGTGCTACTGGCGGGAAAAATAGCACTGCGCTACTAGGCTACGTAATAATAAATCACGCATTCGTGCGAATAAACGCAGTCGTCGATAATTCCGTGCCTATGACACAAGCACATATGCTTTCCACTATACTAAGCGTGTGGAAAAAAACTAGCGAGTAAGGGAGTAGAAATCAGGGAGTTATGAACCCAGGCCCAGCTTGATATTGAAGTTGGCCTTGCGATGGAACCCATCGCCAGGGCGATGGAAACCATCGCCAGGGAACGGTCGTGCAAGTGCAGGTCGCAGAAATGTGAGCGGGAAAGTCCATTATGGCGGGAGCCACAACATCCCATTTTGGCGAGAGCCAATCACATGAGCTCACTCTGCCACGTTTTGTTTCAAGCAGTGTTTTGTCAGACTTGCTTCATTCTCTCTTCGCTTCAAAAAATATTGTCGCAACACCTCTTTCAAGTTGGGACGGGGGTCACTATTTTGCATGCGGGCTTTAAAAAAAATATAGTGCTTATTTCATTCTCACCTTCTTGTAAACTGATTAAAAGAACTTCATCTCGATTTCAATGTAAACCTTTGACAGCCTGGTTGCCAGGGTAGCGTGCTATAGGATTAGATGCATCTTGCATTGACGTGGTTACTACCAAGAATGTCATTCTGCCAAGGGCTGGCTCTGCTCGGGCAAGGAACACGTTGGCTTCATCCACCTGGAAGCAAAGCGTGGTGTCATTCAGCCACGCCATCACCTTCGCGTGCCAGTTCAGCCTTCAGCATTAGCTGGGCACGATTCGTCAAGAGCCAACCTACACCACCGGTTCGTGGCAGAGTTAGGCATCTCCGAACACAAATCTTCTGCGATGCATTCGCGAACCCTCATGACGAATCAGAGAATTTCGCCACATCTAACTGACGTTCGGCGACCCCATCCGAAACTTGCGCACACTCTCACGCGGTTTCCGCCTTGCGCGATTCCTTCCGCCCTGCGTACCAAGTCCCGCGCAGCCCTTCCCACTTCCCGACCTTGTTCCCCTTCGGTGTTTCCTAAGAGCCGCCATATCTCTCCAATCACACTATCCGACCAGTGTGCTATCCGTTGTTCTGCTTCCCTTCGTTCCTCAGCTGTCTCCGCCACACATTCAAATTTGTCATTGGACCCACTAGACCACGTCCTTCATTCTTCCATGGCGTTCGCTGCTCACGCGGCTCACCAATTGGCGGCTTCCTCCAGCTTTCTGGCTGGGTCGTCTCTACCTTCTAGCAGCAGAAAGCTCGCCAGCAGGAGCGCTCGGCCCTCTTTGACCGTCAGAGCAAATGGTTAGTTCGAATCCTAACCAACACGTTTGTTCTTACTTCGTTTTTCTCCCGTTTCGAAGCTTGATGTTGTTCTGGCTTCTATCTATCCTTTTATGGGAGCCATTTTTGTTCACTTGTAAAGCACGTCTCATTGTGCTACAATTTCCCTAAGACCTCACTTCTTGAGGAGCTTAGTCTTGCTGTCTCTGAACTGCTTCCAAACGCTGAACATTCATCCCGCAACTACTCCGTGCGAGACATCACTAGGGTAGTCATCACTCTATATCGACACCTCTTGTTGTTGGCAGTGGACGTTAGTCCGGAGGACCATGCTTTGGAGATCATGCGGAAGTTCAGCGAGCAGTACGCGCGACGCACGGGCACGTATTTCTGCGTTGATAAGGGTGTGACGTCCGTTGTGATTAAGGTGCGAATTGTTCCAGCCAAAGGACCCTCAATTTGTCGCGTAATCAATGCTTTACTGCTCGTGTGTTGTTCATGAGGCTTGTGTAAAGAGGATGTGACTTCTTGATGTCAATTGTTTGGACATTCAGGGTGGTCTATCAGTGTTCTCAACCAGCACTCCATTTGGTTTCCTTGTCGCAGGGACTGGCAGAGCACAAGGACACTCTCGGAGCGCCGTTGTGCCCGTGCAGGTGCGTGTTTGCGATTGTACTGGAGTCGGTTTATTGTGTCTCGGTTTTAATAGAAACCGTCCCTGTCATTTGTTCTGCACTAGGTCCGGTCAATATCGTATCCATGCAAAGGGCTGCGGATTTTAAAATTCCGTTCCTGGTGTGCAGGCACTATGACGACAAGGTGGCTGAGGCGCATCAAGGCTTCTGGAATTGCCCATGTGTGCCGATGAGGGAGAGGTGAGAGGAATCGTAGTTGCTGGAGTGCAGTGCCTCGTAATGCCCCATTTTGCAGTTCACTGTTGCCATGGATGACTTGGGGGTTGTGCACTGGCTGATAATTTGACCGGGCCCGGCCATGTTGTGCTTGCAGGAAGGAGTGCCACTGCATGCTCTTTCTCACGGAGGACAATGACTTCGCTGGCAGAGAGCAGGTCAGCTTCCTTCCTATTCTGAGTCCTCCCATGTTCTTTTAATGTCTGGTGGTTTGAATTGCGAACATGTCGAAGGGGAATGCTCATTTACTTAACACGTTCTGTTTTGTCTGTTTTGCTTCAGGCTATTACTTTAACCGAGATCAAGGACTTCACTGCTGGTTTCTAGCTTCAAAGCTGCTGTATTTTGTGATTTGGACTTACCATCTTCGATTTTAGTTTCAATAAATCACTTGCGTCATATACGGTACCGCTCCTGCGGTGCTGTACAAGAGAATGTTATGTTTCTCAGATTCTTGAATTGCTTTACATAGTGTTTCCGTCATAGTGTTTTCTTCGGCGAATGTTCTCAATGTCTGCCAGCTACAGTTTCTGCATCTGTCTATGACCTTGGAAGTGGTGGTCATGTGTCACACAACTTGTACCAGTACCCAGCTTCTCTTGGGTAGCCATGTGTGTCTAGAGGCTTCTGTTCTGTAGTTAGAATGTTGCACAATTCTTTTGGTTCTACATTAGTCTCCAAGTTGGCAGACTTGAGGCTTCAGCATATAAGCAAGCATCCTTAGGGCTCATCATAGCCCAACAACCACAACAACCCTCAGGGCTAAACAAGCAAACTTCTGGCATTCAAAACTATAGACATGTTGTGGCTGCGATGCAAGCCATGAGTTGACTATGACGAACTACTAGGTGAGACTCCCTTGAACGGAGATCTCACAGGCACTCGGCCTTAAAACACAACCTAAGGTTCAGCCTGCAGCAAAAGCCACACAACACTCCTTTTAGACCATAAGCGTGCTACAGATGCATATATAAAAATATTGCATCACTCAGACGGCTTCTTGCTGTCGGCGTTGCTTGCCTGAGTGGCTCTAGGGGTGGAGGGAATGAGGCTGAAGCTGGTGGTGTGGGAGGAGGGGAAGTCCATGGATGGAGCAAAGGAGGAGCCTGCAGCACGGATGCGCGCACCCACTATCCACCACAGGTCGTCTGGCAGCAGGGGAAGCCCAGTGCAGTGCACAAGAGCAGCAACAAACAAACAAACAAACAGAGGAAATCCCAGGCAGGGAAAGGGTTGAGAAGAATGGAAGACGGCCGAAAGCGTGGAGTTAAGGGAATGATGAATGGCGCACAGGGGCACCAAGATCGGGGGGGGGGGGGTGCGTTTCACGGGGGGACGAGTTACAATGGGGGCGAATTTCACGGGGATGCGGGTTAAACAGGGAGAATGTTTCACGAAGGGTAAGTTTTGCAAGAAGAAAGTTGCAAGAAAGGCTACGACTCACTTGCTCCGCCCTGCGAGTCTCCTTCCAGAGCCTCTGCTGTCTCTCCAATGCCCGCGCTGCTGCCCCTCCCACTGCTGCTCCGCTGCATCACCTTCGCCCTCTCCACCGCCTGCCGCTCCGCCTTCTCCCGCACTTTGTTCCTCTCCCTCCGCGGCGACCGCGATCGTGGACTCTGCTGCCCAATCTCGCCCCCGCCCCCGCCCCCTGCCGCCCAGAACTCACCCGCCCCTCCTGCAGCCTCCTCGTCTAACCCACTGCCATCTCCTGCCCCTCCCATCCCTGCTGTGCTGCTCTGCAACGCCCCTGCAGAAGCCATGGGGGTGGTGGTGCCTGAGGTGTGAGGCGACCCAGGGGTGCGGGCAGTGCCCGGCGTGCCAGGGCGTAGGGGCGAGGAGAGAGCACCCCATATGCTATTCGTATCGGCACTCGGGGAGTTAGCTGCAGCGGAACGAGGTCTGGCAGTTTGGTCTCCCCTTCCTGGACTGACAGTGGCGCTGCTGCTGCTGCTGTTGCTGTTGCTGTTGCTGTTACTGCTGGCAGAGGTGGGTTGCGGACTTGATTGATTACTACCTAGTCTACCTCCAGTCCCTCCTCTCCTGCCTCTGCTTCTCCCTCCGCTGCACCCCGCTCCTCCTTGCCGCCGCTGCTTCTGCTGCGGCTGCTCCTGAGCCAGCTGTGCGCTGCCCTCCCTACCCTGCTGCTGCTCCTGCTGCCACTGCTGCTGCTGCCACTTACTGCGCCTGGGACTAGCCTTGGGAGACTTGTCCTGAGAGTCCTGAGAGTCCTGCGACGACTGGCCAAAGCTCAAGGGGGATAGGGCGCTGCCAGGAGCAGCAGGAGAGCCTGCCGCCGCAGCTGCCGCTGCCGCCGCTGCTGCTGCGGCCGTCCTTGCAGCAGGGGATTCCGAGGCATGGGAGGCGGAAGAGGAAGACGAGGGGTCTCCCCTGGAGCAGAAGGCGCGAACAGCCTCGTCCTGGGAGGAATTACAGAAGGGGCCATGAGCCGGGGCGAAGATGGCGTGGCGCAGCATGCGGGGCAGGCGGGAGGTGACAAGGCGCGTGCGCGTGCCGGGGAACTTGCCGAGGAAGAGCTGGAAGGAGGAGAAGCGGAGCGTGGCGGAGGAGGCGTGGCGGGAGGAGACGAGCGGCGGGCAGCGCGCCACGAGGAAGCCTGAGAGGTCGAAGATGGGCATCACGCCTATGCTGCTCGGTGAGCGGGTGTGAGGCAGGTAGGAGAGAGGGAGAGACGGGAGAGGGGGAGAGACAGGGGAGGGGGAGAGCGGAAGAGGCAGAGAGGCAGAGGCAGCGAGGGGAGGGGGAGAGGAAGAGAGGCAGGGAGAGAAGATGAGGGGCAACGGCGAGGGGTCAGGGCGGGGTGGGCAGGGGCGAGGGCGGGGTGGGGAGGGGCGAGGGCGGAAGGTGGCGAAGGGGGCAGGGGGCAGGGTGGAGGGTGGAGGGTGGAGGGTGGAGGGTGGAGGGTGGAGGGTGGAGGGGGGAGGGGGGAGGGGTGAGGAGGGAGGGAATCCTTGACATGTCTTAGAAATAAAGTGGCGGAGGGGAAGGAAGAGGGGGAAAGAGGCGAGGAGAGAGAAGAAGAAGAAGACGAAAGGAGGGAGCGCGGGAGGCAACGCACCCTTGGCAGAACCAGCAGGGCTCGTTGGTGGCGGAGGGTGCAGGGCGCAGCAGGCGCGACCAGGCCTGCGAGGGGGAGAGCAGCCCCGACCCCTTGCAGCGCGGGCAGTGCAGGCGATCGCCGTCCAGCCGGTCCAATAACCCGAACGCTGCCTTCGCCGTCGCCTGATGCGCGCAGCACGGTACAGCACGGTACGGCACGGCACGGCACGGCACGGTACGGCACGGTACGGCACGGCGCGGTGAGGGGAGAGAATGGAAAGTGGAAAGGGGGCGACGGCAGGCAGGGGAAGGGAGGACGGGGGGTTGTTATGTGTGTACACGTGAGCGAGTGAGAGACGGGAAAGAGAAAGAAGGGTTGGAGGGAGCTGGGGAAGGGAAAAAGGTGGTCAACAGCGAGGAAGTGGAGATAGCGCGGCGGGGAGCCGTGGAGAAGGGCAGAGACGAGACGAAACGACGGACTGAGGCCGGGAAAGGGGAGGAGGGAGGAGGGGCAAAGGGACGGATAGAGAGAGGTGGACGAAACGCGTTCGATACTCGCCCCAAGTCCTTGTTCGGTCGTGCACAAGTGGCTGAAGACATCACACACAACTCTATGGTTGAGTTATTTCCTTGCTTTAGTGTTTTCCTTGCTAGTGGCGCTATCCTCAAGAACATGCGCCGACATGCGACGACACGCGACGACATGCGACGACATGCGACGACATGCCACAACATGCCACCAAATGCCACAAGCCACGCCACGCCACAGAAACCTGCTCCCCGACATACTTTTCTCTGTTGTTCCGTGGCTGCGATCAAGTCGCCTGCTTGCTTTCGCACCCACTCGCCACCGCCGCCACCGCCGCTTTCTCAAACCCGGGCCTCCACAACCGCCCCACCTCTCCGGCGCTCTAACGGCGTCGCAAGCCACACCGGCGCTCTAACGGCGCTTTGACTCGCTTTAATTTGCTTTGCTTTGACCAACTTCCGCTTTGACTCGCCTTGACTCGACTCAGGGCTCACCTGCGCGCGGACCTTCACCGCATTCGCCACTCCGCCGATCGCCACTGCGCCTTCCATCACTCCGCGCTGGATCCGCGCGGGAGCCTCCTCCGCCCCCCGCTGAAGCGGACCCACTAATCCCCGCGCGCTCGCTTCCGTGCGCGTCACCGCATCGCGCCACATCAGCTCCCACTCCCCCAACGGGTTACCGCCCGGTGCCGCCGCTGGCGAAGACCGCGGCGGCTTCGGCGAGCTTCCCGGCGCCGCGGTCGCGGAGAACGGCCGGCGACCGGCGGAGGGGGAGTTGTGTCCGCCTAGCCCTCCCCCGAGAGTGGCGCGGGAAAATTTCTTCCCCCGGGATGGGGAGGCGGAGGAGGCAGCGGGGGAAGGCGGGCCGATGGTTATCGTGGTGGAGTGGGCGAGAGAAGGAGACGAGGACATAGAAGCGCTGCCGGCCGATCCTGTAGAAGCGAGGCGTCTTAACGGAAGATTGCGCGGACTACGGGAACGGGAGGGAGACTGCTGGCGAGATAACTGCTTCGCGTGCTTCGCGTTCGCGCTGCGGGAACCAGCGAGGCCGGCGTTGCTGCTGATGCCGACGCGCGGAGTGCCCCCATCCCTCCCTGTGAATCCCTCTGTTGCATCGCCGAGCCCTTCCGGATCCGTGCGAAGCACGAAAACGGGTTCCCCCGCTGTCATTCCCGATGCAAAAACGAAAGCAGGCGAATCTTGAAGAAGTTTTCGCCGCCGCTAAGTCTTACACTCGTGGCGTGTGTGATGGCTGCAACTAGCAGCAGCTAAGATCAAGATAGCTCGAAGACCTATGTTGGAAAGGAAGGACAAACTAGCGAGCGTAGCGGGCCGAAACATGAGAAACCCGCCTAAACAAGCTAGCACAAGGAGGGAGCCTCGAGGTTGGATTGGATTGGTTGGAGTGATGAGTGGGCGTGTCATATACTCATGAGTCATGGCATGAGTGCTGTTCGGTGCGGAGCAGCAGCCTAGCCTACTCTCTAGGTTCCCGTTTCGTCCGTCGTTTTCCGTTCCGTTCCGTTCCCTCCCATCCATCCAGGCACGCGCAGACGAGACGCACCGCAACTCGCCAGTCGGTCCCGTCAAATCACGACGAACGGCTCACGACTCTCGTCGCGATTCACGAAACCTTCTCGCACGGGCTCCCATCGATCTTCCGCCACCACGCGGATTGGGGTCGCTTCTTGGCGCAAGCCAAAGCGGCGGAGCAGAATCTCTCTGGGAAAAAAGGGCAATTACCTCCGCGGTAACACTCATTGAGCTCGATCGCACGCGAGGTAAGCCACGTGTCCATATCGTAACAAAGGTATCTTCTCATCGCCAGAGTGGTAACCAGCATGCCTAAATGGTCAACATTATTGCCTGAATGGTAATGAACAGTGCGTCCGGAATTCCTGGCTGGTAACTTCGTGTTCCAACCAGACTGTACACCGTACAAATAGGGTTTGACTCAGCTAAACGAAACTTACTGTCCACGTGTACTCCACAAAGTGCGCATAGTAGCGGCGTTTGCAATCCCGAACGATAAAACCTCGCTATGCTAACACGTAATCTGTTTAAGAAAAATAAAACTGAAAACATTAACTTTTAATAAACGCCACAAAAAAACACACAATGTCAAACCGCAAAGCTATCCCAGTGATAAATATTGTGAAACAATATTTTACTCTACCAGAATTTTTCTTATGAATCATAAGAATTGGAGCTCTATTAAGTTACAATAATTTTAATATCAAATTGAACAAAACTACTTTTGCATATTACAGACATTGAAAGTTGCATAAAAAACAAACTATTCATTTCTAAATTAAATAATACATTTAATGCATGACATAAACTATACGAACATGGTAAAAATAGTATTATACACGTTTGTTAATTCATGATATTTCCAGGAATTTATTTATATCATACAATTAAATTGATATGTTGTGATTTCATTAACATACTTGAACGATGAAACTGATCCCATGGCGTTTTTTTGTTTTTACAGAATGTCTGTAAGATGCTTGCTTTAGTTGTATCGTAAACGTGCATGTAACGCTTTGCGCTTGTAAGCGTTTGTACACTAAAGAGAATTGCGCATTCTGTTGGTGTATACGTGGACAAACAGTTTCGTTTCGCTGAGTCAAACCCTACTTGTACGGTATACAGTTTGGTTGAAACGCGAAGTTACCAGCCAGGAATTCCGGATGCACTGTTCATTACCAGTCAGGCGATAATATTGACCATGTAGGCATAATGGTTACCAAAGTGGCGAGAACACGATACCTTTGTTACGATCTGGACACGTGGCTTACCTCCTGCGCGATCGAGCTCCAAGTGTGTTACCGCGAAGGTAATTACCCGGGAAAAATGTTCCCCCCGACACGGAGAACTCGGTGGTTCCACTTGGGTTGGTGTCTCGGGGGCAGCAAGGCGAGCAGCGCCACATGATTTGCCACGTGGAAGGGAAAAGCATTTTCCCGCCAGTGCTGATCGGTTTGGGAATCGGTTCGGGAATCGGGAACGGGAGAGCTCGCAATTGAAATTGAAATATGACTTGTTCGAGTTTTTGTTTGATTTTGGGTACAAACTACATTCTAGGGTAGGTACAAACTCATGTAACGGGACCGCAGAATATTGATTGCATGAAAGGGTCCACATGACGCATCCGTGGAGCACGGAAGTGACTAGATAGTTGCCTTCTATGATCCCACAACCCGTCTGCTGCTTTTCCTCAGCTGCCAGTGTGTGTGGATATCAACGCAGCAATGGGCCGCGGAGGTGGTGAGATTGAGAGCACAGCAGATGCCGAATGTTCATTCGAGCTTCGTCCAGCCACCGTGGCCGACTATGAGCACTACGTTTCCTTCTTTCCGGACCTGTCGGTGCCTGCGTCCCTGCTACTGCCCTTCGACACGTGGCAGCGAGACCTAGCGCCGTCGACGTATTTCCTCGTGGAAACTCCCGGAGCCAAGGCGCCTCGCAGTGACGCTCAGCGGAATGGGACGAGTGACGGGGCCCCTCTCGCGTACGTCTACGTGGAGACGCTGCAGGACTCGGCGTTCATTCGCCAACTCGTCGTTCACCGAGGTACGCCGTCGCATTGCTGTGCCTCCTCCTCTGCAGCAGCTGTCCCTGCTGCTGCTCGTATGTGATAGCTCCACTGCGCGTATTCGTTTCCTGCAGTGTCTCGCCTTTCCTCTCCACTACTCAAGGAGCCCCTTTATTGCTTCTCCCCCTCTCTTCACCTCCCCCCTCCCCACCCCTTCCCTTCGCCACCTTCCTCCCCCCCTCCCCCTTTCCCTCTTTCTTCATCTCCCTCCTGATCCCTCCACTCTTCCGAGCGCCAGAGAAGCGCAGGCAGGGCATGGGGACGAAGCTGATGCGGGCTCTAGCGGCGAGGCTGGCAGCAGCAGGGTGCAGGCAGTGGCGCCTCAACGTCTTCCCCTCCAACACCGCAGCCGTCCGCCTCTACTCCCGCCTCGGCCTCTCGCCGGTTCATTCCGGCTCCTGCCTTTTGATTCCCTGGAAAACTCTCTTTCTGCGTTCTCAGAAGTCCCCTGTACTGTGTAAAGATGAGAAGGCTGGAACGGCGAGCCTTGACTGCAAGACAGGGTCGTGTGCAGGAAAGGACAGGAGCTGTGGGAGTCCAAGGGACGATGGATCAAGCAGCATGTGCCGTGCAGGAAGGTTGTCGGGTGAACGGACAGAGCCAGACGGACAGCTGAGGGAGGAATCAGGTGATTGGTCAGGGCTTGAGAGGGTGAGGGTGGGCGAGATTGAGGTAGAGGAGGAGGAGCAGGTAGAGCGGGAAATGGGGTTACCATTGGGGATGTTACAACGATTTAGGGCACTCACGGGTACCCTGCTAGCCAAGGCTATGGCGACGATGGATGAGGATGCAGGAGGAGGGTGTGGTTCAGAATCAAGGGCGCATTGTGATTGTGAGAAAGGACCTGAAGATTATGGTTCCAATGACCCACGCACGAGAGGCACTGACCAGAATGCTTCCAGAGTGGTTGGTCTAGCGGTCTTCCAGGAAAGCTATGGTGGATTCAAGGTCTTTCGTGCTTTGTCTCCTGCAGTAGCTGAGAAGTTGCTGGATTGGTTTGGGGGGCAGCTTGGTTGCAATGATGGCATATGCACATTGCTGGTAGAAGCTTGTGATGATGTGGTGCAATGGCTGAAAGCCATGGGTGCAACCACAAGGTATGATACTGTCCAAATGGCTGGAAATGTGCAGAAGTTTGCATGACTTAAATGGAAGCGTAAAGGTGGGCATTTATGTAATTTGGCTAGGAATCTACTTAGGTAATCAGTTTTAGCCCCTACAGATTGACTGTGTGCTGTTGATGTTACAGGAACAAGTCCTTGCAATTCTTGGGCATATCACCGACGCGAACCCTCCCGACCATTCAGTGAATCCGTGCGAAGAAAGCAGGGGCGGAGATGTCCCTCCGAGCCGACCATCAGCGTGCGACGCGACTTGTTCAACACAAACCGTAATCTTGGCGAGTTTCGTTCGACTCATTCGACTTTCTTCCGCCCTTGGCTTCCACGTTACTCCTAGCAACTTCCCTTTCCACGGTACGGACGACGCTGTGCGACACACGCTGGAAATGTACTGCATTGCAAGGGGGAAAAAGTGTTATCTTTTTGTCCGACCTGCCCGGACAACTGCACCACCGGCTGACTTTCAAAAGACACATCGCAGAACAAATCATAGTCGACCAACCACAGTTTCTCAATCTTCCCAAGCACGCCGTTTCGAGAACGGGGGCTGGAGCGTGCATGCGACGCGAATCGGAAAAGAAAACTGGACTCGTGGTGAGGTGAGGCGACGGGGCGAGCGAGGAAGCAACCACCAGCAGCAGTTGCCCCCACTGCCCAGCCCATGGGGCTCCTTGCAAAGTCAGATCAGAACGAAGTCACCACCAATTGGCAGACCTCACCGTTATTATCCTGGCGTTCCTTTGTTCGTTTCGGTAGTTAACTAATCTGCTGAGTGGAATAGCACCAGCCCCGTCCGCACTGCAACCGCTACCACGATCTGTGTCCGTAATCTCCTCGACGTTCCACCCAGAACGACGACGACGACAACGACGACGAAAGTTTGCCGCCGCGCCAACGCCAAGCTACACGAAAAAATTCGAGGCTTGAGCGAAGACAGTGCTGTGATCCTGACGCTTTGCACAAACGGCCGTTTCACGAGGTAGCTCGAATTAGCACCGCAACTATGGCGTCGACGGAATGCAAAAATAGCTTAGCGACCAGTCAGAGATTTGCTTCTCCTACCACCTACCACACATCTCTAGCCCAAAGAATGGTGTCCTCGCTCCCGCCCAGCGATCTCTTTTGCCACCCCGCGCTCCACTCCGCGACATTACCCCCCACCGCACTTTACTCCGTCGAGGCTCGCGCCGACACTAGTGCTACTTCCACAAGCAGTTTTCCCCGTAGTCACTCCTCCGCCTCCGCCGACACCCCGCCCGCTGGGTTCTCCGGAGTGCATCACCGCATCACCCGCACTCCCCCGGTCAGCTCGTCAGCTCCGCACCCGGCGGTTGCCGCCAGCAGAGGAGCGGTGTTTTCGCAGCGCGCACGCGCCGCCTGCAGCGGGCGCGCAGCGCTGCAGATGCCTCGAGGAGCGAGCATTGGCGGGGATGGAAGCGGCGTGGGGGGAAGCGGCGGAACCGGCGGCGATGGGCAATGGCTTGCGCGGCTGCGGAAATGGGAGGAGGAGACGGGCCGCGCCAAAGGGCGCCCCATGCGCAGTGCGCTCGCCGCAGGAAACGCTGCCTCCTCCGCGGGCGCGCGGAAGATGCGGTGGCAGCGGAGCGTAAGCGAGGGGGGCGCAGGTTCCGCCGATGCTGCTGCAGCCGATGCTGGTACTGGTGATGAAATTCTCGCCATGGCGTGCGGTAACGAGTCCGAGGAGAGCGAGAACGAGGATGAGCAGGAGCATGAGAGTGAGAACGAGGATGAGGATTCGGGAGATGGCGGCGGAGCAGTGCTCATGGGCGAGGTGGTGGATAGTCCCACGGAACCCGCACCGTACCTTGCCGTCGCTTTCGGCGCAGCAGCACCACTCGCCAACCCCAGCCCCGGCCATGGCCCCTGCTTCGTCCCCGGTCCAAGCTTGGGCATGGACACGGGGAGCGGCGGTGCGTCAGGGTGCGGCGTGCGCGCGCAACAGCCGATGATGACGTCTCCCGCGCAGCACTCCGCGATGCAGCCGCCCGTCGCGTTGTACCCAGGGGGACAGGGACAGGGGCAGGGGCAGGGGCAGGGGGGCCAGCAGGGGCAGCAACAGGCGCAGCAGCAACGGCAGGGGCAGGGGCAGGCATGGGGCTGTGGGCGGCAGGAACAGCAAGCAGCAGCGCGGCAAGTCCCCCCGCGTGTGCTCCATCGCTGCCAATCCGTGCCCGTCGAGTCTCCCCATCGCCCCCGTCGCTCACCCCCGCCCCCGCACGCCCCAGTCCGCCCCGCCACCTCCCCCAAACCCGCCGTGCGCGCCCCGCGCCGCCGCCCTCCGCCTGTGCTGCTCCCCTCCGCGTCCCCCCCCGACGACATCCCCCTTGCTGCGCCCGTCACCTCCCCCCTTGCTACGCCCGTCTCCTCCCCCCTTGCGCCTGCCCCCACGCCCCTCGCGGGGCAGCGGCACTCGGCGCTGCGCCCCGAATCCGCGGAAAGGGCAGCGCGGCGCAGACCAGCGTCCGCGCGGGTGAGGGGCCAGGCGGGAACAGAGGCATCTAGCAGGGATGAGTGCAGCTGTGCCGGCGCAAGCACCGCTCTTGAGACTGCTCCTCCTGCTGCTGCTGCTGTTGCCACTCCAAGGGTTCTGCCTTCCTCCCCAGTGCCAGTGGCCGAAAGAGCAGCAGCAGCAGCAGCAGCAGCAGCAGCATCAGCAGGTGGTGGTGGGGGCACATGCAGCAGGGGGAATCCGAGCCGTGCTGTGCACTCGTCCAGGCTTCACCACGCCTCTCCCCTCTCATCCTCCCCTCCACCGCCGCATGTGCACCTTCCCTCGTCGTCCCTCTCACACGCGCATCACGCCCCCTGCCAGTCTGCTGCAGTCGCCACCTCCGGTGCTCAATCCACTCGTCCTTCATCCGCTGCTCCCACCACTGGCAGTAGCAGCACTGGCACTGGCAGTGGCAGTGTCAGGGGAACGAATCGGCGGAGAAACGACAGCATTGGGAGCAGCGGTAGCAGCAGCAGCAGGGCAGGTTCGTTGCACGTGGACATGCCTGCATCGCCGGTTGTTCCCAGCCCTCGCATGCCACTCTCCTGCTTCCCTCGCTCCGTTTCCGCCTCTGCTGGTGAACCCTCTCCCTCTGCTGCTACAGCTTGTAACACTGCTGGTGCCGCTGGTGTTGCTGGTGGTGCTGGCAGCAGCATGCACTCCCCCATCAATCATGCTGCATCAACCGTGGCAGGAGCAGCAGGGAGGACTCACTATCGGCCCATGTACCCTCGCTCCTCCTCCACTCCCACTGCTGCTGCCGCTGCCACCCATACGGAACCCGCTCCTCCACGCAGCCGCATCACCATCAAGGTCACTGCCATGCCGCTAGAGCACATGCGTGCTGCTGACTCTCCTGCTGCTGCTGCTGCCGCTGCTGCTGCTGCTGCTGCCGCTGGTACTGCTGCTGCTGGTAGTGGTAAGGGTTCTGGGAATAGTGGTGGCATGAGCAGCACTGTTGACAGCGTGGGTGTGCCATCTGTGCAGCTGCGAGAAGGGGGAGCAGGAGCAGGAGGGAGCGGTGCAGGCAGCGGTGCAGGCAGCGGTGCAGGTAGCAAGGGGTGGGCGCAGAGGAGGGGAGATGCGCTCATGGCTCATAGCCTTAAGCAACAAGGTGCAGAGCAGGAAGCGAGGTGCCACGGGCAGCACAGAGAGAAGCTGACGACGATAGTTGCATCTGCTGCTACCGCTTCTGCTACTGGTTCCTTGTCTGCTGCTGCTGGTGCTGCTCGTAAGGCCTCAGTGAGAGACAGCAGCATTTGGGGCAGCAACAGCAGCACTGGCAGCAATAGCAGCAGCAGCAATACCAACAGCAAGAGCATCAGCAAAAGCAGCGGGCATAAGATGGCGGTGAGGAAGGAAAATACGGAGAGCACAGACAGCAGCAGCAGTAGCAAGAGCAATGGGCGTAAGATTGCAGTAAGGAAGGAGAATTGTCAGAGCACTGACAGCAGCAGCAGCAGCAGCAGCAGCAGCAGCAGCAGCAGCAGCAGCAGCAGCAGCAGGAGCAGCAGTCAGGTTGGTGTGTTGAGCAAACAGACAAGCTCAAGCTCCAAGGTCAGAAGCTTGAAGAGACAAGTGTCTCCTAGCATCAATGTTAGTGTCGGTGCTGCTGCTGCTGCTGCGGCTACTGCTGCTGTGGCTGCTGCACCTGTACAGAGAGTGTATGTGTAGGCTGACATGGCAGGCTGTAACTCTTGTACACCTCCCCTGCATTACAATTTGTCCCCTGCTACGGTATACAGAAGTATTTTTTTCTTATCGCATAATGAACTGGTGTTCTGTACTGAATCAATATGAAAGGCCAGGGACAGGATATAACACAATGCACTCGCTATACAAGGAACAGACAGGAACTCTAGCACACAAAAGCAAGCCAGATTCGCAAGCTACTGTAGCATCCCTTCCGACTAGCACACAAGCAGAGGTGGTGGAGGTTGTCAAATGTTGAACATTGATATGATAGGCTGTAGTGAGTTGCACTGTAGGGGGTACAGTTTCTAGGGTTGCTTATTTGTACCCCGTTCGTTTCTATTTTAATCATTCCGTTGCTAACCACTCTTGAGATGGTATCACGAGCAGGACCGTTCCTAGCCCGTTCCTAGCCTAGTGTTCACCCTCCGCGTCCTCCGCGCCTAGCTCGCGCCCTCCGCGCCCTCCGCGCTTAGCTCGCACCTCCGCACCCTTTGTGCCTCCGCGCCTAAACCGCGCCACTCCACCCTCCGCGCCTAGCCCGCGCCCTGCCCCTAGCCCGCGCGACGCCCGTAGGCTCTGCCCCAGCCCGTCGCGACGCCCGTAGGCTCTGCCCCAGCCCGTCGCGACGCCCGTAGGCTCTGCCCCAGCCCGTCGCGACGCCCGTAGGCTCTGCCCCAGCCCGTCGCGACGCCCGTAGGCTCTGCCCCAGCCCGTCGCGAAGCCCGTAGGCTCTGCCCCAGCCCGTCGCGACGCCCGTAGGCTCTGCCCCAGCCCGTCGCGGCGCCCGTGCGCCCTGCCCGTTGCCCACGCGCGGCCCGTACACCCTAGCCCGTCGCCCCAGCCTTCGACCTAGCCCGTATTCCCACCGTCAAACCGCCCTCCCCGCCCATTCCCACCGTCAAAACCGCCCTCCCGCCCATTCCCACCGTCAAAACCGCCCTCCCGCCCATTCCCACCGTCAAAACCGCCCTACCCGCCCATTCCCACCGTCGAAACCGCCCTCCCCGCCCATTTCCACCGTCGCAAACTCCCCCCCCGCCCCTCTCTTCCTGTTACCCACCCTTGGCACGCGCTCTAGCCCCGCCACCGCCTTGTGCGCGGAGCTCTCCCCAGCTCTACTGACACTGGTCTATCACCTAGCGGCTGGCAGCCGCTCTCTCTCGCCGCCCGCCTAGGTTCGAGCCGTTTAGCCACTAGTATCGCGCCCCTAGCCGTTGTAGCTGGAGATCCTCCGTTTCACGCCTAGCCTAGGTCACTCAGTGCTCCTAGCCTCTCACTCCGCCGTTCTCCCTCCTGGCGCTCCGTAGGTTTCCTCCTCGTTCTTAGCTCAGCCTCCGCCGTGCTCCAGCCGCCTCTAGCATGACATCCGTTATGGAGTCGCGTCGCCTCCGTTTCGACGCGGAGGGACGCCCGATAGAGTTCGGCACCTGGCAGCGCCAGACCACGCGCTTCCTCACGAGCCAGCGACAGGACGGCGCCACTCTGTGGGCTCACGCGTCTGGTGTCCTACCGGCCCCTCCGTCCCCCGCCGCCCTGCCGACCGCCCCGGAGCCGACCTCTACGGCCCAGGCGGACTACGACCGTCGGGTCCTGGCCAGGGACGTGTGGCTCTCGCGTGACGCAGCCGCCGCTCTCACTCTGTCGGAGCTTCTCCCCCCGACTGAGGCCGCCCACTTTGACCAGGTGGAGACTGCACAGGGGGTTTGGGAGGCTATTGTTGCTCACTACTCCACCCCCTCCTCTGCCTCCCTCAGTCGCCTCCTCATGCCGTTTGTGTTTCCCGACCTAGGCTCGTTTGCGACTGTTTCCGACCTAGTGACTCACCTCCGCTCGCTTGACGCCGGTTTCCGCGCTGCCTGTACCGACGCACAGCTTCTAATTGCTCCCCCCCCCATGTGGCTCACTGTTCACTAGTTAGTCACCCGCCTCCCTGACCGCCTTGCCACTGCCCGCGACGCGCTTCTTCAGAAGCACCCCACTGAGCTCACTATCGACCTCCTGGCGACTGCTCTACGGACCATCGAGAGTAGTCTCCTCACCGTTGCCTCCGCCACTGATGCGGTGGCCCCCCGTCTCTTTGCGGGGTGTGCCGCCCCTCAGCTTCCCACTTTCACCGCTACCCGCGCCTCGACTGCTGTGTCGGTCTCTGAGGACACTGCTGCCGTTTCTGCCGCAGACTGGCAGAAACGGGGCAAGAGTGGCAAGAAGGGCGGGAAGGGGGGAGGTGGGGGCGGTGGAGGCGGCGGTGGAGGTGGCGGTGGAGGTGGGAGCGGCGGTGGTGGCGGAGGCGGCGGCGGCGGCGGCGGTGGTGCACCAGGGGGAGGGGGCCTTGGAGGAGGCACAGGACAGACAGGCCCACCCACAGTTGGTGGCCCGACCGGTGGGGGCGTTGCCCCCCAGCAGCAGCAGCCACAGCAGCACCAGCCACAGCAGGGACAGCAGCAGCAGCTGGGACAGCAGCAGCAGCAGGCACCGCAGCAGTTCCAGCAGTGGGGGCCCCCGCTGCAGTGGGGTCCGCAGCAGCACTGGGGTCCCCCGCCGCAGTGGGGTCCAGGAGGCCCTGGGAGCACCGGCCGCAGCAGCAGCTCTTCCAGCTGGGCCCCTCGCCCCCCTCGCCGTGACGCTGGCCCCTGCACCCACTGGTGCCTCACCGGGCCGGGCAGCCCCTGTCTCTGTGGTCGCGACGACCACTCTGCCGCGCGGTGCTTCCGCCGCCTCGACGACCTCTACCGGGCTCGTTGGGGCCCTCTGGCGGTCACGCCTCGCTGGTCTCGTCTGTTAGCCCGTAAGATTGATGTTTTTGATCTGTCCATGGACGATGCGCGTCAGCATGCTTTGTATGTTGATGCTGACTTTAGTGCTGATGGATCTGTGTGCTCGCGTGTTCGTAGTTTAGCTTGCTTGCCTCCTGCTAGTGTAGCCTTGTGCCTGTCTAGCTTAGGTGCTTGTGTTGCTGCTCTAGGTGCTTGTGTAGCGACTGGGTCTGGTGACCCTCCGGCTGAGGCCTCTCTGTCGTTCACGCTGGACTCGGGCGCGTCTCAGTGCTTCTTCCGCGACCACACGACCCTTACACCACTCCTCACACCTGTGTCGGTGGCTCTGGCTGATCCTACCTCTGGACCAGCCGTTGCGCGTAGCTCCACCACCCTCCCGTGCCCTGTGGTCCCCTCTGGTGTCCTGCGCGGCCTCCACATCCCCTCGTTCACTCGGAACTTGGTGGGTGTTGGATACCTCCAGGACAGGGGAATCACGGTTACCTTCGTGGGGGGTGGGCGGACTGCAGTCTGTACAGACGCTACCACAGGTGCTGTTCTGGCCACGTTCACCAGGGAGCCCCGCTCTGGTCTCTACGTTCTCCACACCGAGCGCTCCCCGGTCGAGTCCTCCCCTCAGGTCGTTGCGTCCCCTCCGGCCCAGGTCCCCATTCCAGTTGCTGTGTCTAGCCAGGTAGTAGTGTCCGGTCCGGTAGCTGTGTCCAGTCCAGTCGCTGCGTCTTGCTCCTGTCGCTCTCTCACCCACCGCACCGTCCTGTGGCACCACCGCCTTGGCCACCCGTCGATCCCTCGCCTACGTGGCATGCTCACTCAGGGACTTGTCTCAGGTCTCCCACGCACCTTCCCGTCGCTCCCTCTCTCGCTTGCCCCTCCTTGCTCTCCGTGCGTCGCCGGTCGCTTACGCGCCACTCCCCACTCCTCCTCCCTTCGTCCGGCCACCGCTCCCTTCGAGACTCTCCACTTGGACGTCTGGGGCCCTGCCCCGACGCAGGGACCTGGGAGGGAGCGTTACTTTCTGGTGGTCGTCGACGACTTCTCCAGGTACACCACAGTGTTCCCTCTTGCGAAGAAGTCCGAGGTGACTGCTACGCTGATCAGGTGGCTTCTAGCCACTGAGGGCACTCGTGGTCGTCGAGTCAGTTGTCTCCACTCCGACCGTGGGGGCGAGTTTCGCTCCGGCATTCTCGGCGGATTCTGCGGCGAACAGGGCATCACCCAGTCCTGGACGCTGCCAGAGTCCCCACAGCAGAATGGGGTTGATGAGCGCCGCATAGGCTTGGTCATGGACATCGCCCGCACGTCCATGATCCATGCCCGTGCGCCCCATTTTCTGTGGCCCCACGCGGTTCGCTACGCCGCACACCAGCTGAACCTCCAGCCGCGTGTCTCGCGGCCCGAGGTTTCACCGACCAGTCTTTGGACTGGTTCCCCTGGTGTCGGGTCGGCCTTTCGAGTCTGGGGCTGCCTTGCACTTGTTCGCGACACCTCCGCGGACAAGCTCTCGGCACGCGCCGTCCCCTGTGTCTTCCTTGGTTTCCCAGTGGACTCTGCCGACTGGTCCTTTTACCACCCTCCCCTCCACCACTTCCTAGACTCCCGTGACGTCCGGTTTGACGAGTCCGTGTCCTACTACACCCGGTACCCCTGTCGAGGTCTCCCGGTACCCCCTCCCCCTCTTTTCCTCGCACCCTCTCCTCCTCCTGCTCCCGCTCCTCCGGTACCCCCGCCCCCCCCTGGTCCTGCCCCGTCTGGTGTGTCCCACGCTACCCCTCTACCCTCGGTCGCGCGTCAGGTAGCGTCTCCCTCCCCGCAGTCCTCCTCACAGTCCCCTCAGCAGCCTTCGGCACTTCCGCGACAGGTTACTGTGGGCTCGGTTGGTGTTGGAGCTGGAGGTGCAGGCACTGGCGGTACTCGGTCTGGTGGTACTCGGTCGCGGGGTGCTAGAGCTGGAGGTGCTGGCGCAGGTGGCGCTAGCTCTGGGGGTGCTGGAGCTGGAGGTGCTGGCGCAGGTGGCGCTAGCTCTAGGGGTGCTGGAGCTGGAGGTGCTGGCACCGGTGGTGCTAGTTCTGGGGGTGCAGGAGCTGGAGGTGCTGGCACTGGCGGTGCTAGTTCTGGGGGTGCTGGAGTTGGAGGTCCTGGCACTGGAGGTGCTGGTTCTGGGGGTGCTGAGTCTGAGGAGTCTGACCCTGGTTCTGCGGAGTCCACTCCGCCTCCCCACCGCCACGACACACGACTCCAGGCTGCCCGCCGGCGCGAGCGTGAGGAGCAGGAGCGGTTGGAGAGGGAGCGGCAGGAGCTGTGGGTGCTGGACCTTCTGGAGCAGCAGCGGCGGCAGCAGCAGCAGCAGCAGCAGCAGCAGCAGCAGCAGCAGCAGCAGCAGCAGCAGCAGCAGCAGCAGTAGCCGCAGCAGCAGCCGCAGCAGCAGCAGCCGCAGCCGCCGCCGCAGCAGCAGCAGCCGCAGCCGCCACCGCAGCTTCCTCTGTAGCGGCGGTTGTTCCCACCTGTGAGTGGCCTGCGGGCCCTTGGCTTTTCCTCCTCTCCTCCTGTCCGCTCCCAGTCTCCTCCTGTGTTTGTTCCTCCGTTGCCTCCTCCTGACAACCGTCCGGCGGTCTGGTGTTCTCCTCTTCCCCAGTCTCCTCCTCCTTCGGTCCGTCGCGACTTGGTCACTGGTTGTCCTCCGCGTGCTCGTCACTCGTCCCCTGTTACTGACCTCCACACTGCCCTCCTTTGTACGTCTCGTCTTCGTTCTCCTTCTCCTGTGTCCGTTCTCCCGTCTCCTCCTCCGTCCTCTCTCCCAGCCCTCCCCACTCCTATCACTGACTACTACCGCACTGTTCGTCCTGTTGCCGCACGTGTCCTCGCCACTCTTGTCACCGACTCTCGTTTCCCTCCGTCGTCTGCCTCCGCTCTTACTGCCGCTGTCGCTGAGTTTGCTGCCGCCAGCCGCCTTGACTACGCCACCCGTGTGGTGCCAGCTCCTCCCTACCGTCCTCTGTCCGTCGGGGGTGGGTTTGCCCTTGGCTGTGACGTCCTAGAGGACAGAGAGTCTGAGCTGGAGTACTGGGCAGCCGCTTATCCCTCTGTGTGTGCCATGCTGCTCTCCCCTGAGGGAGACCCCGACGCCCTTGACATACCGACTCCTCGCACTTACCGCGAGGCAGTGTCAGGGGCGTGGGCCTCTCAGTGGAAAGCGGCTATGGACTCAGAGTTGGCGTCTTGGAGATCCACAGGCACCTACGTCGACGCAGTTCCCCCTGCCAGGGCGAACGTAGTCGATGGCATGTGGCTCTTCAAGGTGAAGCGGCCGCCTGGAGCACCGCCGGTGTTCAAGGCGCGCTACGTGGCTAGGGGCTTCAGTCAGCGTGAGGGAGTTGACTTCTTCCAGACCTTCGCCCCGACCCCGAAGATGACTACTCTTCGGGTGTTACTCCACATAGCAGCGCAGCGAGACTACGAGCTGCACTCCCTCGACTTCTCCACTGCGTTCCTCCAGGGCCGACTGCACGAGGAGATCTGGCTGCGCCGTCCTCCTGGTTTCACTGACACCTTCCCACCTGGGACCCACTGGAGCCTGAGGCGACCAGTCTACGGTCTCCGCCAGTCGCCCCGTGAGTGGCACGACACTCTTCGCTCCACGCTTCGTGACCTTGGGTTCAGCCCGTCCTCCGCCGACCCGTCGCTGTTTGTTCGAGCGGGTTCTACCCCTTTCTTTATCCTTGTCTACGTCGACGACTTGGTGTTTGCTACAGCAGACAGGGCAGCCCTGGCTCAGGTGAAGTCCGAACTGCAGAAGAGACACAAGTGCACTGACCTGGGTGAGCTGCAGCGTTACCTTGGCTTGCAGATCACCCGGGACAGAGCCGCTCGCACCATCACACTGACGCAGTCACACATGGTGCAGCAGGTCCTTCGGCGGTTCGACTTCCAGTTCTCCACCACTCAGCCCACTCCTCTTGCTCTTGACCACAGACTCACGGGCCCCTTTCCTGACGAGCCCTTTGAGTCCAGTGGACCCTACGCAGAGCTGATGGGCTGCCTCATGTACCTGATGACTTGTACTCGACCGGACCTCGCCTTTCCCCTCAGCATCCTTTCTCGCTTTGTTGCGACTGGGAGACACCGCCCTGTCCACTGGACAGCTGCTGTGAGGGTAGCGAAGTACCTGGCGACTACATCAGGCATGGGGCTTGTGCTTGGAGGGACTCAGCCAGTGGCGTTGACTGGTCACTGCGACTCTTCCTACGCTGACGACGTGGAGACTCAGCGTTCGACTCAGGGTTACTGCTTCAGTCTGGGAGCTGGTGCTGTGTCGTGGAGGTCTACACGGTCGTCGTCTGTGGCTACTTCCAGTGCAGAGGCAGAGATCTACGCTGGTGCCATGGCGGCACAGGAGCTTCGCTGGTTGACCTTCTTGCTCGCCGACCTTGGTGAGCGGCCTCGCTCTGCACCGACCTTGTATGCTGACAACAAGGCCATGATCCTCCTGTGTCGAGAGCCTCGACTGGAGAGCAGAGTGAAGCATATTGACGTGAGGTACTTCCTCCTGCGAGAGCTGCAGCGACGCGGCCAGGCACGCCTGGACTTTGTGGCCTCAAAGGCCAACACTGCAGACGTCTTCACCAAGGCCTTGGCGCTTGGTGACCACCACAGGTTCTGTGTGCAGTTGGGGCTTGTTGAGGTAGGCCCTAGGTTGCTGTAGTCCTGTTGCTTCCTCTGCTTGTTGTGCTTTGTATTTATATGCTAGTGAACTTTTGAACTGGCCTTGTGGCCGCTTGCTTGCGCTCGGAATTTGTGTGGTGTCCTTGAGATCCACCCTGAGCTTGTCTTGGTTCTTGCTTTGACTGGTCTTGTGACCGTTTGTTCACCTTGCTTGCTTTGATGCCCCTCACTTAGCCTATGGGGGTGTGTCAAATGTTGAACATTGATATGATAGGCTGTAGTGAGTTGCACTGTAAGGGGTACAGTTTCTAGGGTTGCTTATTTGTACCCCGTTCGTTTCTATTTTAATCATTCCGTTGCTAACCACTCTTGAGAGAGGTGGTGTGAGATGGGGAGGGGACTAGCTAAAGAGCAGCAGCCAGTGCAACCAGCCACACCGCAAGGAAGCACCCTGATTCACTGCTAGCAGCAGCAGCTGGTTAATGCGCGTGAAAGAGAGACCAGCGGCGGCGCTGCAGTGCACACTGCATGCTGCTCATGCCCCACAATAGTGCCCAGCCCCGCCGCACAGGCAGGCGGGATGGCCGTGCTGCAGTGCAGCCATCCTGAGCCGAGCATGCCGCCAAGCGAGAAGCCAAGCAATGAGAAGAGCACCAGGCTGCGCACCATGCAGAGCCATAGGAGAGCTAGGTGGAGGAATAGGCAGAGCACTAGAACGATAAGGGGGTGGTGATAACGAGCGAGGTAGGAGGGGTTGGATGGGAGGATCAATCTCAGACGATGCGGCGGTGCGGGATCTAGACAGGAGGAGGCGGCAGCGTCGCCAACCTCAGAGAATGCGGCGGTGCTTGAGGTAAGCAAGCATGGCGAGGAAGAGCAGCACGCCGCCAAACACTATGCCAAACGTGGCTGTCCAGAAGGCAAGCTGTGCCCGAGAATATATGGGATCGAGAATGGGAAAGAGGGAGGACGGGGAGAGAGGAGGGGAAATAAGGGGAGGTGAAAAGGTTGGGAGGTGGTGCAGAGGTGGGAGAGGGGGAGTAGAGGCGCATCAGGAGAATACATGGAATGGAGAGGCTGAAAGCAGGCAGGCAAAAGGAAGGGTAAGCGAAGCCAAGGGGGCGTGGGAGGGCGGCAGGAGGGAGTGGAAACACGGCAGGAGGGAGCGGAAGGGCGGGCAAGGTGCAGGGAGGAATAGGCTTACCGCGCTCTCCTCTAGGCGATTGCGCAGGTTCATGCCAAAGATGCCTGCACGGGGAACAGGTGGTGGCGGTGGTGGTGGGTCGGTGGGTGGGGAGGGGGTGGGAGGGGGAAAGGGGAATCGTGAGGATTGGCAAAGAGGGGACAGGAGCGGGGTCATGAGAAAGGGTGCGGAATGAGCCTTGGAAAAAGGGTGGGGAAACGGGGACAAGAGTGGGGGGAGATGGAGAGGTGTGGGAAGGGAAACTGGTGGGCGGTGTACGATGCATGCCCCACACCACAGTACTGGGGCTGGGGAGGAGCAGGTGCATCTGGTGTGCACGCACGCACGCACCTGCATGCGATGAGTGCTTTCTAGTGAGTGCATGCGCGCACCTGCAATGAGGGCTCCCAGCGCTGCAGCAAAGGTGCCGACCTGCAGCAGCAGCTCCAATCGCCCCACCTCCAAGCGCCGCGAACTGGGAGAGACAGGGGGGAGGGGCGGAGCCAGGGGGTCAGGTTGGGAAAGAGGGAGACAATGGCAGGGGGTTTGGCAGGGAGTAGGGACGGGTGGAAGAGGAGGTGAGTGGCGAGGAGAGGCATGTGGGGGAGGAGTAGTGAAGTGAGAGGATGCGGTGATGGGGTTGGATGCTCGGAGATGGGCATGTGAGATGGTCCCCCTGTCAGTGAACACAGTGCTTGCATGTGAACTGTGAGGCGCAGTGCTGCAGCAGGATGAGTCAGGTCACATGCAAGCACGCGACAAGATGCTTCACAGCACTCGCGAGCCTCAACAGTAGCTCGATAAGGGCAGGGCAAGGCGGGGCGGGGCGGGGCGGGGCGGGGCGGGGCGGGGCGGGGCGGGGCGGGGCGGGGCGGGGCGGGGCGGGGCGGGGCGGGGCGGGGCGGGGCGGGGCGGGGCGGGGCGGGGCGGGGCGGGGCGGGGCGGGGCAGGGCGGGGTCAGGGCAGGGCGGGGTCAGGGCAGGGCGGGGTCAGGGCAGGGCGGGGTGAGGGCGGGGCACCTGAGGTTGACAGCGATGGAGTCTTCCATCTCCTTGGCCGAGTCCAGTAGCTTCTCCGACTGCCCATGGCACGACTCACACCTGATGCACCACCGCACATGGGGCACAGGGCACAGGGCACAGGGAGATTGTGAAGGGAGCACACGCAAGGCGGCACGGATGCAACAACAGAAATAAATAAAAAAAACTCGAGAGGGCACCAGCAGCCGCAGCCGCAGCAGCAGCGCAACAGCAGAAGCAGTAGGACAGAAGCAGCATCAGCGTACCTCTGCAGGTAGTACTCAAACACCATCTCTATCTCCTGCTCCTCCTCTGCCACCAACCACACACACAGGCAGGCAGGCACACGGAATGGGAACAGAAAGGACATAGGAGACAACACGGGTCAGGGAATAGGAAAGGGCATGGGAGGGAACGGGTGGGATAAGGAGGGGAAGAGTCTGCAGGTAGTACTCAAACACCATCTCTAGCTCCTGCTCCATCTGTGGGTAGTACTCACCCACACAGGTGGACACGTCACACATGGACAGAAAGGACAAGACAGACAAGGAGAGGACATCGGGCAGGGAAAGAGAGGCAATGAGAGGGAACGGGGGGGACACGGAGGGAAGGAGAGGTGAGGGGAGTGGTTAGGAAGGCAGGAAGGGGGTAAGCTGCAGAGAGCCATTCAGGAGCGAGCTAGTGAGACGGAGTGGGGTGGAGTGGGGTGGAGTACGGGGGGCAGCACAAGCAGAGCTCCCGCAGCTACCACCTCCACCATCCTCACTGCCTACCACCGCCTTGGATCCCAGTTCCCACCCACCTCCCCACCACCCCCGCCGTTCCACTCTTCCCATCCACCCGCTTCAAACCCACACAGCCCCAACCACCCACTCACCCACCTCCCAACCACGCACCCACCCATCCGCACCTTCAGCAAGCAGAGTATCAGCAGCGGTGGGGCATTCAAACCCCCCATCCTTGTTCACGCGGCACTGCCTATCAATGGCAGTGATGCGTCTGAGCTCATTGGTGTGCTCCAGCAGCTCCAGCAGCATCTGCCTCAGCGCGCCCGCCTTCGACCCCAGCTCCACCAGCGCCTGCTTGCTGAGCCGCAGCTCCTCCAGATTGTCGGCTGTCAGGCGGTTGGGGAGTACTTCGAGCAGGGCGAGCACGCGCGGTTCGATGTCCATTAAGGCGCTCTCTAGGCGCTGTGTGCGGGAGATGAGCGCGGATTCTACAACCTGGGGGTGGAGGGGGGCGGGAGTGTGGGTGAGGGAGAGGGGAGAGGGGAGAGAAGGCGGAGAGGGAGGTGAGGGGAGAAGGAGGTGAGAGGAGAGGGGAGGCGGGATAAGAGATAAGAGGGCTGATTCCACCTCCTGCCTGAGAGGGGGGGGGAGGCGGAGAGGAAGTGGTGTGCGGTGGAGTAAAGGCGGTGGTTGCAGACTTGAAACTCGAGGAGTGAGGTGGACTGGAGGGGAGGGGGAAGAGAGTGAATGTCTGACGACGAGCTGAATGAAGATGGAAAATGGAGATTGATTGACTGACTGACTGACTGACGGACTGACCTCGAGTTCAAAGGGCACGGCGGGCCCGCCACTGATGGACACGTCCGCATCGAGGCGCAGGCGCTCCAGCAGCACCTCCACGAACGACTGCGCTCCCACACTGGCACATGGGGGGGAGAAAGGGGAGAGGGGAGGGGCGGGGGGGGGGGAGGTGGGGGAGGGTGGGGATGCAGTGCGGGAGGGAAGGCAATTTAGAGTACATCGAGGGGCAGGCGCTCCAGCAGCACCTCCACGAACGACTGCGCTCCCACACTGGCACACGGGGGCGAGGCGGGGGGAAGGGGACGAGAGGGGGGGGGAAGAGGGGCGGGCGAGGGGGAAGGGTAGGGGAAGCGCGAGAGTGAGAGAGGGGGGTGCAGCGCGTGGGAGGGTGGGGGTACAGCGAGAGCGGGAGAGACTTTTGAGAAGTGATACATGCACGCCTCAAGAGTGGCTCCAAACGAGGACTCAAGAAGCGATGCGCGTTGGTTGAGACGCGTGATCCACAGCACAGCACAACAAGAGGTGGCGGGGCATGGGTGACATGACAGGAGAACGGGGCACGGGAGACGCATAGGGGACAGCAATGAAGGCGATCGATGAGAGCGCGGGGAGGGCGGGGAGAGGGCGAGACGGGAAGAGAGGGAGAGGCGCAGGCAGGCAGGGCGCAGGGCGCAGGGGGCAGAGCGCAGAGTGCAGGGCTTACCTGTTGTAGTCGAATATGAGGACGGTGTGTGCGGTGGAGATGGCTCGCAGCGACCCCAGGTTCAGCAGAATGGCGCTGTCGCGCACCTGGTGCCGTGCGGGTTGAGGGAGGGGTGAGGGGTGAGGGGTGAGGGGTGAGGGGCGACGGGTGAGGGGTGAAGGGTGAGGGGTGGGCGTTGCAGGGGGTGATGGGAGGGGAGGGAGGGGGAGGGTGGGAGGTGGATGGGGGAAAACGGGAAGCGAAGTGGGACGCGGGAGGGGGAAAGATGTGACAGGGAGATGCAAGAGGGAAGGGGGGGTGTGATGGGGTAACGGGGAAGGAAGGGGGAGATAGGCGGGGCAAAGGCGTGGAGTGCGCATGAGAGACAGCCCAGTTGAGAGAGCAGCGCAGGAGCAAGCAGCGCGAGTGGCGCTGACAGATCGGCAGAGAAGGATAGGGCGACAGAGAGATAGAGAGGGAGGCGGAGGAGTTTAAGAAAAGGCAGGGCGAGAGGGCGAGAGGGCGAGGGGGAGAGAGAGGGAGAGGGGGAGAAAGAGAGAGAGGGCACGAGAGTGGGAGGGAGGGAGCACGCACGAGGATGGCGGGCATGGAATTGGTGACCCACAGCGACGGGTCGATGCGCCGCACATCCCGCTGGGTCAGCCCTGCACGCGCACAGACACCGGTGTGGGAGGCAGGGGGCAGGGGGCAGGGGGCAGGGGGGAGGAGGGAGGAGGGAGGGGTCAGGGGGGAGGGGATAGGGAGTGTTTTTGGTGAGCGGTGTGTGGTGTGGGGTGCGGGTGTGTGAGTGTGTGGGTGAGCGGTGAGCGGCGAGCAGCGAGGCTGCAAGCAACTGCTGATTGCATGCGGTGCAATACTAGATCATTGTTGCAGTGCGTGTGTGCTATGTCCTTTGACCAAACCTGCACCTCCATCCCATCCCATCCCATCCCATCCCATCCCATCCCATCCCATCCCATCCCATCCCATCCCATCCCATCCCATCCCATCCCATCCCATTCCATCCCATCCCATCCCATCCCATCCCACACCATGCCATGCCATCCCATCCCATCCCACTCCATGCCATCCCATCCCATCGTACCACTGAGCTTGAGCAGCTGTCGTCGGCTCACTTCCCGTTGCCACACGTCGCCGCGCCCATTCACCTCCAGCACCTGCCACGCAATGCCGCACAATGCCACACAATGCCGCCATGCCACGTAACGTCGTACCATCAGCATGGCACCAGGGCCCCATGTGCAAGGGTACAGAGACAAGACAACCGTTCCAGTGGCGGCAAACAGAACACCGTGGGATGGCAGCACGAGAGCACGAGAGACGGTACACAGATTCCCACGCACAACAGAACAGGTGTTGCATAACATATCGGAAACAGGCGAGAGCAGCAGCACGACAGCACGAGACACGGTACACAGATTCCCACCCACCCACCCACCCACGCACACACGCGCGAGCGCACCTGGTAGACGGGTTCCTTGGCCAGGGTCATCAGCTCCTGCTGCAGCGCCGGTCGCGTCGCCGCAGCGGACGCCGTCTCCCACCACGTGCGCCCCAGCGCCACCGACCCGCCTGCACCACCGCTCCGCTCATCCTCGCCGTCGCGACCGCTGCTGCTGCTGCTGCTGCTGCTACTTACGCTGCTACTTACACTGCTAGCTTTCCCGCCGCTGCTGCTGATGCTGCTGCTGCCGCTGCTGGTCGCCTCACTTGCCTCTGTGGCGGCAGTCGCGCCACCCGAGCCGCTGCTGCCGTCAGTTTCCTCTGCCGTGTTCGGTACAATGGCGCCGAGCCGACCATTCACCACCTGCCCGTTCATCTGCCCGGAAACCACCTGATCCGTCAACTTCTGCTTGTTAGTCTGCCCGTTCACAGCCTGCCCTTCCACTGCCCTTCCGTCAACTTTCTGACCTAGCTTCTCCGTAACCTTCTTCCCTTCGTCGTCGATATGCCAGATCTCGTATTCTTGCGGGCTGTGCCGGTAGTGCGGCTCGTCACCAGATACCACCTTCTTAATATCGTCAATCGCCGGCCGCTCGCTAAAGCCGCCGCCGCCCGTGCCTCCGGAAACGGCGGCCTTGCCTTTCGCAAGGCGGCTTTTCTTCTTACCCACAGCGCCCCGGGAATGGCCAGCGGAACCAACAGACGTGGGCGACGTGGCAGGCGGAGGCGGCGGAGGAGGAGGAGCATCAACAGCAGCTTGCGCGGACGAGTCCGGTCCTGGCGGCTCTGCGAACGAGGAGGACACGGGAGAAGGGCTGACAGCGGCGCTTGCGGCGGCAGAGGCGGCGAGATGGAGCGTATCGAGCGTCGCGCGAGGGCTGGGAATGACAACGGAGTGAAAGACGCTGTCCTCGTCATCCTCGCCGTCCACGCTGAAAACGCCGCTGTCCGGGTACTCGATCTTGCCGCGGCTAGGACTAAGCGCCCTGCCTCCGCCGCCAGTTGCGGCGCTGCTACTGCGCCGCCTTACGCCGGCTTCGCTGGGTCTCGGTCGCCCCCACGTGATCTTGGCGCGCGCGGACCGCCGCCTGGCGGAGTCTGCGGCTCCCGCAATGGCGGAATCACGGGTTGCAGCGGGCGTCGCGCGCTTTCCGCCGTCGTGGCGCGCGGCACGGAGAACCCAGACGGGTCTAAGACTCCGAGAACGGGATAGTGAACCATCTATGCGACGGCATGGTTCGCATGTGAGTGGGACGCAACTCCTGCTCGCTAGGCAAGACGCCTCCATTTCAGGAAAAGCCAACAGAGGCCGTGACGAGTAAGGCGTGCCGTTCGTAAGAGGCAGCGGATGGTTGTAGATTAAATAGGGTTACCACCACGTCAAACGGCCGTCGATCAATAAAAACTTCGAGAAAGCAAGGAGACAAGAAACACAGGAAGTGGACGGCGACGGTTCTAACCTGCGTACGTTTTGTTCTAGGAAAACATGGGCGACGCCTTGGTGGACTGAAAAGCCTTTTCTGTGCTGCCATGTATCCTGCCCTCCTCCCTCGTCATCGCCGCAGAGCGATGGACCAATGGCGATGGCAGTCGTGTTTGTTGAGTTGATCCAACTGGCAGGTGGTGTGTGTGTTTTGCAGTTTTCCGATTTTGGTGTGTGTACAGTAGTTTTGGTTGGGTTGGGGTTCGAGACAAGAAAACAAACTGGGAACTAGTTTGAGGTATGTTTAGAATGGTTGGATGCGTTATACCGTGGTTTCTTGGTTTCTCCAGGAAGCCTCTCCCGTGTTTCGTAGTTGCGCAGCCCAGTTCGACCGCGACTTTGTTGGACACGACACATGCGTCATCCGGGGCAGCCGCACCCAAATCTTCTGCTGGAGCGAACCCGAAGCACCACCAGAGGCTTCCTCTCTCGCCGCGCCGGTTCGCAGGCCTACGTGGCACCCTAGAGCCCACATAGATTTCTACCAATTGCTAAGGGCTTGCTATTGCCGCGCCGAGTCATCACCGAGTCACGTCCAATTCCAGATCGTCAAAGCATGCTGCCACCTTGTGAATGAGTGAGATGGCACAGAAGCGATGGTCTCTCACACAGCTGTAATTCATTTCTTAGTATCATTTTAGCATGAGAGGTGATGTTACAGTATCCACTTCACAAGGCTTACACGAAACACGAATGGTGAGAAACGGAGGTACTCCAATGTGCACTATCCCTGTGAAGCAAGTGCTTCATGATGGCTGACGAATGCATTTTTGGGTTGCGTAGCAACCCCTTTATATTTGGTAGCACTTTTTTAGGTCGACTCGAATGAACAGTGCATTTTTTGTCACTTTCCCAACGTCTGAAGCACTTGATTTAACGTTTTGAGAACGTGTGCTTCAAATGTGTGGAGATGACAGCCACTGCTACACAAGAGTCTCCAAAAAAAGTGAAACCAAATGAGACCAATTGTTCCAAAATCGTCGATAAATACGGCGAATGGAAACAATTGGTAGCCTTGCAATATTTTAGGGTGCATCACACACAACTGATGAGACAAAAAAATCAACGTGGATGCAAATTACGGTATTTGCATCTACCGTATAGAACATGTGCAAAACGACAACACTCAACAACATTAAATGTCATAAAGTGAATGGCAAAATGCATCAGCGCTACAATAGCGATGGATCCGGTATGCTAAGGCGAGCAAAGCTGCCCCAACAACGATCCCCACCTCAATTGCAGACCTGACACACTTTAACATGACACCTTACAACAAACACGAACGAGGACATGCGACATTGTACTGGTACAATGACGACAACGCATAACAATAATTAAGTGTCTTGGGGAGAATGCTAAAATGCATCGATGATGCAACAAAGGTTGGTCTGGCACGCTAAGGCTATTGCCCCACCGGCGATCACAACCTGAGTTGCATACACGAGGCACTTCAGCACACGCCTTGAGACAGACACAAAACGAATCGAACAACACGACTGCACATACATATCTCACACAGGCTCACACACTCACATACACACTGACACGCACGCAAACAAGCACTGATACATACGGATAGTCAATACCCAATCATCATGAAATTCAGCTATTAATAAATAATCACTAGCCAATCACCCCTTACCCTCCCTACACCCCTCCCTCCCCCCTCCCCCCCTCCCCACCTCCCTCCCTCCCTCCCTCCCTCCCTCCCTCCCTCCCTCCCTCCCTCCCTCCCTCCCTCCCTCCCTCCCTCCCTCCCTCCCTCCCTCCCTCCCTCCCTCCCTCCCTCCCTCTCTCCCTCCCTCCCTCCCTCCCTCCCTCCCTCCCTCCCTCCCTCCCTCCCTCCCTCCCTCCCTCCCTCCCTCCCTCATCTCCCTCCCACCCCCCTCCCTCATCTCCCTTCTCTGCCAAACAAAATCAACGAATGCAGCTCACGCGCCCTGCACAGAGCAAAAACAGAGAATGCAAAGCACGCACCTCGCACAAGAAAAAGGCAAAAACAAATAATGTTCACACACTGTACAAAAAAATCAATAAAACGCATAATGCTTCCCCGCGAGGAGGCCAAGCAGGAAACTTGACAAGCAATGGAATTTTGACAACTCACAGAGGTAAAATGGTATGGCACCACAGTACTATGCCAACATGATGCAATACATTACAGCCACCCTCACGTTCAACTTCACAATCACGCTCAACTCACTCTTGTACTCAATCTTGCACCCACTCACACACAGACACACAAAGACTCTCAACTTTCTTAGACACTCTCTGAGAAACAAACACACAAACCTACACGCTCTCTCACGCGCTCTCTCACACGCACTCTCTTGCACACTCTCACGCACACTTTCACGCGGACTCTCACGCGCTCTCTCACGCGCTCCCTCACGCGCTCCCTCACGCTCTCTCACGCGCACTCTCACGCCCTCTCTCACTCGCTCCCTCACGCGTCTCTCGCGCGCTCACTCACGCGCACTCTCACGCGCTCACTCACGCGCACTCTCACGTGCACTCTCACGCGCCCTCTCACGCACCCTCTCACGCGCTCTCTCACGCGCTCCCTCACCTGCCCTCTCACGCGGCCTCTCACGCGCTTCCTCCCCTGCCCTCTCACGCGCTCCCTCACCTCACGCGGCCTCTCACGCGCACTCTCAAGCGCACACGCACTGTCACGCACTCTCTCACGTGCACTCTCACGCGCACTTTCACGCGCTCTCTCACACACTATCTCACGCGCGCACTCTTCTTACACGCTCTCTCACGCGCACTCTCACGTGCACTCTCACGCGCACTCTCATGCGCACTCTCACGCGCACTCTCACGCGCGCTCTCACACGCACTCTCACACGCTCCCTCACGCGCACTCTCACGCGCTCCCTCACGCGCGCTCTCACATGCGCTCTCACACGCGCTCTCACGCGCACTCTCACGCTCTCCCTCACGCGCTCTCTCACGTGCGCACTCTCACGCGCACTAACACGCGCACTTTCACGCGCTCTCTCACATGGCCTCTCACGCGGCCTCCTGGCGCCAGAGCGCTAATCGCCAAGGCGCAAGGCACCAGCGCACTAGGCGCCAGCACGTTAGGTGCCAGAGCGCAAGGCGCCAGCGCGCTAGGCGCCAGCGCGCTAGGCGCCAGCGCTTTAGACGCCAGCGCGCAAGGCGCCAGCGCGCAAGGCGCCAGCCCGCACGGCGCCAGCGCGCACGGCGCCAGCGCGCACGGCGCCAGCGCGCATAGGCGCCAGCGCGCAAGGAGCCAGCGCGTTAGGCGCCAGCGCGCAAGGCGTCAGCGCGCACGGCGCCAGCGCACACGGCGCCAGCGCGCACGGCACCAGCGCGCACGGAGCCAGCGCGCATAGGCGCCAGCGCGCAAGGCGCCAGCGCATTAGGCGCCAGCGCGTTACGCGCCAGCGCGCAAGGCGCCAGCGCGCACGGCGCCAGCGCGCACGGCGCCAGCGCGCAAGGCGCCAGCGCGCACGGCGCCAGCGCGCACGGCGCCATCGCGCATGGCGCCAGCGCGCAAGGCACCAGCGTGCACGGCGCCAGCGCGCACGGCGCCAGCGCGACCGGCGCCAGCGCGCATAGGCGCCGGCGCGCATAGGCGCCAGCGCGTAAGGCGCCAGCGCGCAAACAGCCAGTGCGCTAGGCGCCAGCGCGTTAGGCGCCAGCGCTATACGCGCCAGCGAGTTAGGCGCCAACGCTATACGCGCCAGCGTGCTAGTTCCCGTGCGAACTCTCTCACTCGCTCTCCCTCTCTCCCTCTCTTCAAATGGTATTGCAATGCAAAAGGAGATCAATCGACAGACAGAGAACTTACGAAAAAATGTACGAAAGTAAATTATTTTTTCAGAGAGGAGGAGAAATGGACCGGGAAAGGACAACGTACCTGAGAATCACGGTGCCTCAGAGGTAGATTCGCCTTGGCGCTCGCGCTTGGCGCCTGTCGCCAGAGGCGACGGCGGGTAGGGAAGAGGAGGCGACGACGGGGAGGGAACGGAGAGGCGACGGCGGGGAGGGAGGGAGAGGCGACGACGGGGAGGGAGGGAGAGGCGACGACGGGGAGGGAGAGGCGATGGCGGGTGAGGAGGGAAAGGCAATGGCGGGAGGGAGGGAGAGGCGATTGCTAGGGTGGGAGGAAAACGCGATTGCTGGGTCGGTGGGAGGTAGCGGACAGCAGGGTGGGAGGGAGGGGAGGGGAGGCGATGGTTGGGTAGGAAGGTTTCAGGGAATGAACACTGTAGATTCTGTACTGTGCAGTTCTTGAATTCTTGCAATCGGAGTTAGTTGCCAAAGAATAGTCATGAAACATGTTTTTTCCAGAACACTACCGTGATGCTACTACTTCATCTGGAAACCATAACAAAACTTGGACAGTAAGAAAAAGCACACTAGATTTGGAAGCTAGTGTCACGTGAAAACACAAACGTAAACACGTGATACTTGTCAGCCTCCAACCCAACCACAACCCACTAGAACAACAACCTGATAGTATTACAATATTTTTTAGGCAATTGTTAAAATGTTTCTCAATTCTCTAACTAATATATACCATCAGAAATTCAAAACAATTAAACGAATACCATATTTTAAAATTATGAGATAGCAGAATAAGTGAATGTATTTTTATCAGTAAACGTTTTGTTTTTTCGTTCACTGTGAATGTAACGCGTACGCAACCCTTCCGACGTTAACGTCGAATCTTGTTTATCTATCAAACGAGTGTGCACTATCAACGCGAAAATGTAAGGACGTGTTCAAAGGAATCCAGTGATTGCACAACGGCCAGGCATGTACGGTAATTTCTGTTCTACGTCGGCAGCACCTGTGTATGTCTAGCATCAGATGAGTCTGGATTTGCTGGTGACGAAACGAAATCCATTTTACATAAGCATGCATTTCACAACAAAAAGGGGACCACTGAACACATGGCTGTACCCTGATCCAAAGATGGACTGAACGAGGAATCAGCAAAGAGAGCTAGAAAGAGGATGACGGAGATTAGTGAGCAGCAGAGGACATTCACAGCCACGTGGCGAGTGGAATGGAGAGGTGAAACGACGAACACACTGTGGGGAAGATGCTTGGCAACTAGCAGAGCACCGTGGCCTGCTTTTCGTCTTGGCAAGTGAACTCGCTAACGCCTCAGTTGAGGCAGCCTAGCAGTTGACGAGAAACGAGGAGGTGCTAGGCGCGGACGGACTAAACACTAGAGTGCCGGCATTCCCATCGGGTGATTGGTAGTTGCAAGCCTGCGATGACAGCAAACGGCAGCGACCTGCAGAGAAAAAACCGACAGAGGGGATATTTAGACACAAACGCTTCTATGCAGACGAAATCATCTGGAACGAGCACGCGTTGCGAGACTACGGCTACGTGCGCAGAACAGCGCAAAACCCGCCGCTGCACGGCAGCAAGCAAAACCCGCTCACCGAGGCCGTTGGAGCTGCGCTCCCACGTGAAGTACTTCACATCTTGTTGCCACATGTCGCTCGCCGCGCTGTAGCAGTCCGTCACCGTCTGCAAGCCCTTATCCTCCACCAGCGTCGGCCCCGTCGCCGGCGAGTAGCTCTCGTAGATCCGGCCCGCCTGCGCGCCGGGGAAGGTGCTGAGATTGTCGGTGGCGGACGGCGCGGAGCCGGCGCAGGAGAAGGTGGGGCAGGATGTATTGGCGGCGGGTGGCGGGGTGACGGGGGCGCCGCAGCGCTTGAAGGCGTAGATGTTGATCGACGAGTACACGCGGAACTTGCCATAGTTGCCGAAGCTGCACTGCGAGTCGTCGAACAGCGCGCAGCGACCTGGGGGAGGGCGGCGGGATAAGAGGGGGCGGAGAGGGAGGGGAGAAAGAAGGCAGGAGAGGGAAGAGGGAGGTAGGGAGAAGGAGAGGGGAGAGCGTTTCAGTGGTAGGGTAAGGAAAGACGCGGCGGTTGCGGAGAAAAGGCGAGGACTGCGCAAAGACGTGACTGCAGCACGGGAGGGGAACCTAAAAGCCAAGAACAAACAACGAGTCAACCGCGACCGAATCAAGGTATATCCACGCGTTGCACGGAGTAAAGTACGTTCGACATCGGACACTAAGCGGCGGTGGAGCGTACCGTCCGTGGTGTCCTGCTTCTGGTACCAGTGCCAGTAGGCACACCTATCGTTCGCAAGGCACTTGGCGCAACAACCCCCGATCGGCACGAGCGCCGTGTTCGTATCCTCGGGATTCAGCAGCGTGCCTTGCGGCCGGCTGTCGGCGGCGGAGGGGTGCGCGAGATAGCCGCCGAGTTGCACGCCGTTGTACGTGGCGATGGAAGGGAGGGACTCGGTGGTCGGGCAGGCGAGACACGGGCCTTGACGCTCCGGGCATCTCCTGTACGCCTGAGACGCCGCGTTGACAGATGACCCCAGCAGGAGCACCAATCCAAGGACCGCGAAAAATCTAGACGCCATGGCGGCACGGACGGTGCTCAGGCGTATGTGATGGTTACAGCTATGTCGGTCTACGCTGTGTCAAGTCAGGACTCAGGAGTGGTAGGAAACCAAGTGTTGGCTTTTGTGAAGCAGAAAGGTGTGGGAGTTGGATTGGCGGAAAGGAAAGCTATGGCTGCTGGAGCTGGCGGTCGGTGGGGTGTGCTTCTGGCTGGGCTCGAGGACAGGCGGAAATACAATGGTGGCTGCGGCGTTTTTGGACTGAGATGGCCCCCTTCCCGCTCGTACCCGCTCTCTCTCAGTCGCACAGCCTTGTTACTGCGCTGCTAGGGTTGGGTTGACTGCTCTCCTCCAGTCCGACTGTCCCCCGTTTCCCATCACCTCCGCTCCGCAACTGCTAGTTTCAGACCCGCGCTACCGCTGGGCTGACTTTCGCGAACTGCTGCTGCTGCTCCAGCAACCGGCTGTTTGGTGTGTGAGTGGGACGGACGCGACAAGTCTGACGGTCACACATCTCGTCCAGGCCTGTCGAAGTTCCTGGGGCCAACACTTTGAGTCCTGAGCTGCTCGAAGTTTGGCCCTGATTTTCGCGAAGGTGATTGTTTTTTAGCCCTTAACGATCACGGGTGCAGGTCAAATTCGAAACTTGAAATCCGGGCTTCTTAAACAAATGTACGTTGCCCTAATTTCACAAAGGCGGATGTCAAATATTACTTCGTAGCGTGAAGGACCTTGCTAACGACTGTCTGTAAACCTACAGCAGGGGGGGGGGGGAGAGGGGTGGGGGAGGGGAGGAGGGGGCTCGTAGGGCAAAACATCGTCAGCAAAGAAGACGTTCGAATTCTTGTGTACATTTGCAAAGCACTTCCGAGGAGGTTCGTTCTCATGTAGTACTACTAGTGTGAACCGATGGGGATGAGTCCCTCTTCGCCACGTAAGGGTGTCAGTGTCTCGAGTCCAGCGTGAGTACTTAAGAACTGTGAGGAGTGAAGACTGTCTTAGAAATATTTTGCAACCACATCCATAAACATCAACACTAGAAAGTCCTTTCAAACCAAGTCGATAGAATGTGGGAGCTACCGAGATAATGAGTACGGGAGGAGAAGAGTGGCAACTTAGGAAACTCGCAAGGTTACTCTCTCCTGATCCGGGATCTCAGGGAAGGGCCCCGAACCAGCCCTTAAGGGATCCGGGTTGATACCCCAATTTCTCAAAATCAGCCCGTAAGAAAAACGGGCTCCCCTCGAAACCAGCCCTTTGAAATGCCGAAGCTGGCCAGGAGTTCGCCCGGAACGTTCAAATTTCCAAAGGTTTAACACTTGGTTGGGTTTGCCCGTCCGTGATTGGGTAACGAATGACGAAAGTTTTTACGAGCGGGTGAAAAGAACACAGCGAACTCCCCAACAATCAAGGCCAAAACAAACCTGGGTGGGCAGGTTTGGGTGTAAGACGAGCCTTGGGGGACAGGTTTGCGTCTGATTGAGAACTATGCGACCCACCCTGGCGACGCAATCACGTTTTGAGGTTGACAGAAGTGTGAAGTCAGAAAATGAGTGCCCACGCCAAGCAACCATACTCCCGTCGCTGAGCCGTAGTAACACCGAAATAGAAAGCCAGCAAAGCATTATTTCCCCCGTTTACGATTAGTATGAGAGCATCTTCCTTGATCGGGAATGAGAGACGGGATGGGCGGATTTAGAGTGGAAAACGCGGATTGAGATTAGGAAGGGCAGATTGCGACTACTACGGGCGGAATGAGAGTAGGGATGTGCGGAATGAGTTTAGGGTTTGCGTAATGCGATTTGGAACGTCGAAAACAGGTAGGAAGGGCGGTGTGAGATGAAGAAGGGCGGATTGAGAGGCAGAAGGGCGGAATGAGAGGATGAAGGGCGCGATGAGAGAACGAGGGGCGGAATGCGAGGAAGAACGGCGGATGGAGAGGAAAAAGGACGGAAAGAGAGGACGAAGGGCGGAATGAGGAAGAAGGGCGGAATAAGAGGAAGAAGTGCGGAATGAGAGGAAGAAAGGCGGAATGAGAGGAAGAAAGGCGGAATGAGAGGAAAAAGGGCGGTATGAGAGGAAGAAGGGCGGAATGAGAGGAACAAGGGCGGAACGAGATTAAGAAGGGAGGGATGACAGTAGGAAGGGCGGAATGAGAGTATGAAGAGCGGAATGAGATTGCGGATGGGCGAAATGCGAGTAGTTATGATGGAATGAGATTATGGAAGGGCGGAATGAGATCAGGGATGGGCGGAAGGAGATTAGGGGTGGGCGGAATAAGGCGCGGGTTGATGGGGAGGGGGAATGGAGGGGGAGAGCAGGTGCTGCCCGAGGAGGGGGAAGAGAGACGTCGTCCCTTTTGACAGGGAGGTGAGTGCATGGGGGAGGGGATGTACTAGTGGTGAGGGTGGTGGGGAGGAGGAGGGGCAGGGGCTGTGGCATGTGGTGCGGGCATGCGGGGTGGAGTCAGCAGAGGGGCTGAGTGGCGTGGTGGACAAGTGGGGCTGGACCGCCATGCATGTGGCTGCTCGGAATGGTGACTCCCCCGTGGTCAGTCTCACCTGCCTCCCCGCCTGCACCCATGCAGCACAGCCATGCACCAGCTCTCACCCATGCAGCACAGCCATGCACCAGCTCTCACCCATGCAGCACAGCCATGCACCAGCTCTCACCCATGCAGCACAGCCATGCACCAGCTCTCACCCATGCAGCACAGCCATGCAGCCCGCTCAACACTCTCTGAACCCACCGTCCATCACGCGTGTGCACTCATCCCTCCCCGTCCACGTGCCTGCACTCACATGCACCTTCAATAATGTCGCAGGCATGGACCGCACTCACCCTGCTGCCCGCTTCTCTCCCTCCCCGCCGTTCTCCCATGCATGTGCCTGCAGCTGCAGGCGCTGTTGCGCATGGGCATGCCAGCGGGGGTGTGCAGCACGCGCAACGCCACCACGCCACTGCACGTGGCGGCGTATGGCGGCCACGTGGACTGCATGTGCCTGCTGGCGGCTGTGCGTGCCTGGCGGCTGTGAGTGCCTTGCGGCTGTGAGTGCCATGATTGGTTCAATGCAAGAACGGTAGAAAGTGCTTCGCTCGTTTCTTTCTCCACCCAGCTTCTTAGCCCTCTTGCCTTCATGCGCTCTACCCTGCGGTGCCCTCTGCACCCCGCTTGAATTGCTCTGGCTCTGCATCTGCTTCCAGAGCCGCTTTCCTCCTCTTTGTATCCCTCCGCCTTCTCTCATCCACCATCCGCCCCCCGCTCTCTGCCCTCCGCCCTCTGCCCTCCCCCAGGGACTCCATTACACAATGCAGTGACCAAGCAGCAGTGGGAGGCAGTGAGATGACTTGCACACCAGGGAATAGAGCCAGCAGAGGTAGAAGCAGCGGGGGCCAACCCCAAGGCGGTTCAGATAGTGTGGGAGGAGCATGCGCGGCGGGCAGGCCAAGGAGGGGAGAGGGGGCATGGGTTTTGGAAGGATGGTGGTGTGGGTGCGAGCTGAGTGGGTGAATTCCTTGTGCTTGATTATCACCATGATGTATGATTGCCTGCTGCCACTGCTTAGTGGCAGAACACAAGGAGGACAGGGTGCTGAGCAGTGGGAAGGGGCGGGAGGGGGGGGTTATAGAGCCGCTCCCAGGGCAGTGGGGAAGGTGAGAGGTGGGGATGAAGCAGGGTGGATGCTTCAGTAGCGCTTGTGGGCCACTCGCTGCTGCTCGCTGCCCGCCTCCTCGCCTCCACTTGATTACCCTCTGCCTTGATTCTGTGCTCTATTTCTGAGTGCTCATCTTGTCTCCCCTTTCCCCTCTCATCTCCACTCTACCCCATCCCTCTTCCTGCCCCCCTGTCCCCATCCTTCTCCCTCAGGAGAGCCGTACACCAACTGCACCGCTCTGAACCCATTTGTGCAGTGGAATCTGCAGCCGCTGCTACCAGCCACTCCCCCCTCCTTCACCCTCACCTCACCACCCCCACCCGCCTTCACGCCGCCATACGCCCTCTCGTCCATCTGCTTGTGGACGTCCCTCTCCGCCATCGCACCTGGTCGCACACAAGCAACAGCCCTCCTGCCACTGCCGCCACACACAAAGCCTGCTGATGCAGATGCTGGCAGTGGAGGCGAGAAGGCAGTGGGAGGCGCAGTTGGTTCGAGTCAGGGCGTGCAGGGGGAGTGGGCAGTGGCGGGGTATGAGGCGATGCGTGTGGTGCAGGTGGGGGGTGGGTGGCGCCAGGGCAGCTATGGCCTGCCCTCCTCCCTCGCTGCCTCTGCTGCACCTGCTGTGTCTGGAAGGCAAGGTGACTTGTCTGGAAACCTTTGTTGCACTTCTTTGTAGTGATCAACTGAATGGCTCAGTTCAGTATCCTAAACACTGAAGTGATTTTTATAAAGAAGCATCCAACATTGATACATGTCATGGGTACTTGTCAAACCGGTACTATTTAATAGCTAAAGCTTAACAAAATTCATGCGTGGCGGACCAGTTCTGACAAAATCCTGAGTGTCAAGGCTGAAGCAGCTGGAGAAGAGGGAGGCTGAAAAGGAGGGGAGGGAAAGGGGGAAATGAGGGGAAGGAGTGAGTAAATTGATGGGGAGCACAAGGGGAAATTATTTTATAGCAGAGGGGGTTCTGTATTGACCTGGTGCAGTAGGGGAATTGATGGGAAAGCAGAGCTGTAATTTATGGGGAGCGGAGGGGGGGATAACAGGGAGCAGAGGGGGGAATAAGAGGGAGCAGAGGGGGGAATGAGAGGGAGCAGAGGGGGGAATGAGAGGGAACAGGGGGGGGGGAATGACAGGGAGCAGAGGGGGGAATGAGAGGGAACAGGGGGGGGGGGATGATAGGGAGCAGAGGGGGGAATGAGAGGGAGCAGAGGGGGGAATGAGAGGGAGCGGAGGGGGGAATGAGAGGGAACAGGGGGGGGGGGGGGGGATGATAGGGAGCAGAGGGGGGAATGAGAGGGAGCAGAGGGGGGAATGAGAGGGAGCAGAGGGGGGAATGAGAGGGAGCAGGGGGGGGGGGAATGACAGGGAGCAGAGGGGGGAATGAGAGGGAGCGGAGGGGGGATTGGGGGGAAATTAGGGGAATTTATCGCAAACTGGTATATCACCCTTCCTTCCCCCCTCTGTCCTCTCCTCCTTCCCCCCCGCAGAACATGATTGCATACAACACACAAGAAACAGGTGGTGGTACGGTGTAAAGCATGGACTAGCTTTAGCTGCGCCTCAGCTTGCTCTTCTGCTTCACCACTGAAAATTAGGGGAGTGGAGTAGGCAGAAAGAATTGTGTGAATGAACATGGGGGAGGTGGTGTGAGGTGCCAAGGGAACAACTGCAAGGGAACACAAGCAAGCGCACATGATGAAATAATGTATGGGGAGACAGTGATGGGTGCACGTGCATGGGAACTAGAGGGTGGAAGGTGAGGAGTGAGGGGGAAGGGGAGGGCATGAAAAGGAAGGGAAGGGTTGAGAAGGGATGGGGAAGGAAAGCGCAGGGCAGGGAGGGAAAGGCAGGCATTGGGAGGGCAGGTGACAACTGGGCAGAGGGTGGGGGGAAGGAGAGTGCGAGTGGGAGAGGACGGAGAGAGAGAGTGCGGGAGGAAAGGAGAGTGAGAGTGCGGGTGCCAGGGGATGGGGGGAAGCAGGAAAGGGGATGGGGGGAAGCAGGGAAGGGGATGGGGGGAAGCTGGGAAGGGGATGGGGGGAAGAAGGGGAGGGGATGGGGGGAAGCAGGGAAGGGGATGGGGGGAAGCAGGGAAGGAGGGGTAGCACCGGGGGGAAAGGAGGAGAAGCAGGGGGGGATAGGAGGGGTAGCACCGGGTCTCCCCCCCTCTCAGCGCACCTTCTCCCCCCCTCTGTCCTCTCCTCCTCCCCCCTCTCAGCGCACCTTCTCCCCCCCTCTGTCCTCTCCTCCTCCCCCCTCTCATGTAGTGCTTGACATACCCGCACCATGCGCGATTACGTGACGAATGGCGCGTGAGATTACAGGCGCATTCGCGCTGATGCTAAAGAGGCGCCTCATGCCTATAGCGGGGCGAGCGCTGAGGCTCAGGTGGCGCGTGATGCCTACAGCGGGGCGCACTCAGCTGCTTGCGGTGTGCGCGCTGCTTACAGCTGGGTGCGCGCCCCTTGAAGGGAGGTGTGCGCGCGCTCACCGGCAGGGTACACACCTTTCCCGCGTCTCGGCGGGCCTTAGTCCCGCGACTTCGGTGATATCGCCCCATTGCCGCGTTTGCCGCGTTTGGCTCGTCCCTATCGTCCTTTCCACCCTTCATGCTACTGCGACCTTCCCCTTTCACCTAATAAGGGCGGTTGATGAATGGCGATGAACCCCACGCCGGCAGTTTTTGGCGAGGAGAGGACGAAGGTGGGGATTGGACACGCTAAATTTGATGATTTTCCCGTGTTCGGGCTTAGAGAATGCGGGTCACGGAATGCGCCAAGGTCTATAGGCGCACGGTTTCCCCTACATCATGATCGCGACTGAGTTTTCAAGGCTAGCTATACTAAAAGACGTGGCATATGGCTGGTGAAACACTTGAACTGGTGCCTACACGAACCGTTTTGTCAAAGTTGAGAGTTCTGAGTCTCATAATTCTGAGAGCTGTAAATGCTTGGTTTGCACGGGGAAGTGTGCGACGATGCCTCTGTTGTCGCACGTTTTTCTGTACACCTGTAGATTGGTTCGTGCAGGTGTGTTTCCCAACCTGCGTTGTCGTATTCCTGTCCCAACCAACTTTGCAACACGTTGTTTCCCTTTGGTTTGGTTTTGCCTGGAACGAGGCCCTGTTTCAAACCTCTCCCAACCAACCTTCCCAAACCACCCCTTGCCTTGTGCTTTGCGACAAACCCAGCTGTTACCGGATCCCAAGCGTTTAACACTTGGTCGGAAGGGTGAAATTTGAGACGCGAGCTTTAAGGAAAAATGCCCTTGAATCGACAGCCCTGATCTCGTCTCGTCTCTGCTTCGCCGCCATCAGCAGCACCTGTTGTAGACGTGATCTGCCCGTGTTCGTCTCAGGTGCTGCGAAGACTGCGTTGGTCGCTTTGTTTGCGGTTTCATTGAATCGCCAAGGTCGCAGCACAGTCGCCGTCGTCAATATCGGCAGTTACGAAACGGAAAGTCTTCGGCACGCACAACGGTGATCGTCTGCTCGATACATTCAACGAATATTTGCAGTTTGTACGAAACGGTACATTCGTTGTCGTCGCTGGCTACCCATTCCAATCTCGTAACCTCGTTATCCGTTTCCCATTGTCGTGTAAGTCGCTGAACTCCCTGCACGAATGAGTCAAACCCTGCGACAGAAGCTCAGGTGAATTTTCACGGCAGCAGCCCCCTGATGCACACAAATTCGTACATCTCAGGGGAGATTTGAGAAGCAACTGTTGGATGGAAGGAAGCACGAACGGAGGGAGACGTTCGAGCGCCACCAACTTCCCCTGAGACCACCACCAGTACGGAAAACGACAGAATGACATCACCAGACATTTTCGTGACGACAAAACAAATCAAGTACAGATTTCCATTTCGACTGCTACTTTCAGTCTGTTTCGTTGTTGAGAAGCAGTCGCATCTCAAAATACGTCAACATATCTCTGAGATCTACATCACTTGGACCAAATTTATATACTTTGTGGGGATACTCACAGTACACTATATTTTCAAAATCACCAGACCCAGAAATTCATTTCTTGGGCAGACAATCCCAGTTATACTGTTTTATTTCTGTTATAATTCTCAAGTGTACAAAATTAGGAAATCGTCAGCGTCGTTTCAAGCCCATACAAGACACTCAGCTCTCCTGACAGACTATACCCACGGTCCATAAGCATTTGCTCATGTTGGTGGTGAGATTGATGGTGTGGATGGAGGGATGATGCGAGCTGAAGAGGAAGCATGCGAAACTGGCAAGGATGCGCAGTGGCTGCGGATCATGGGTGTGGGGAACACAACAGGATGATACACATCAGAGACCAGGTAAATGAGCAAATAGCACACTCCCGAGCGCACAAAAGAAGCGGGATGAGTGCAGCAGACAGACAAGTGCGTGGGGGGGATTTAAGGCGAGAGAGCGTACGCAGTGAGAGGAAGGTTTGGGGAAGCCATCGCAAGAGGTGGTGAAAGCGGGCAACCACAGCAGCAGCACGAGGAGGCAGGGCCGCAGATGGTGCAGTGGGCAGCAGTGATGGCGCGGGCAGAAACACGTCTGGATCAAGAGCGGGCGGCAGCGGCAGTGTTGCTGCCGGTGGGGGATTGAGTGGAGGTATGGCGGGCAGGGGAGATGGTGGAGGTGTTACTTGTGGTTCCTGCTTGGCTGGATCGGTGCAAAGGCAGAGAGAGGTAGAAGGCAGTGTGTGAGGGAGTGAAAACTACGTAAGACAGGTGCCATGAGAAAACATGCGGGATACACGACCCTAGGAGCAAACACGAGCGAATGGAATGGAATGGAAGGGAGTGGAATGGAGTGGAATGGAGTGGAATGGAAGGCTAAAAGAGAGGTGGTGGTGAGTGGTGAGTGGTGACAGCAGCATGCCTGAGGAAAGCAGCAGCATCAGCCAGCAGCGCCACAGAGCGCACTGCCTCCATCTCCCGCTGCTTCGCTGTGCTGCCAGCGGGGCGAGCAGGCAGCACGGCCAACACACACACACAGGGAGACACATGGAGTGGGAGAGACACGGGGTGTGAGACACACAGTTGATGCTCTCTCTCACACACACAGTGTATGTCTTCTACCATCTCAGCCCACTGCTGTCACCACAGCACAGTGGACAGTGCTCCTGCCAGATTTCAGTAATCAGGCAAAAAACATCCCCACACCTCCCTTTCCCCCACCATCCGTCTCCTCTGCACCCATGCACCCGTGCACCCGTGCACCCCTGTAGCTGACTCACAGGTCAGGGCGGAGCAAGCTGGTGAGGTCATGCACGAGAATGACACACGGCAGAGGGGGGACGAGGGTGGCAGACGCAGCATGCGGGCTCTGGGGAAAGACACGGGCTGCAGGTGAAGCGGCGGTGGCAGGGGATGGTGGTGCTGCTGCTTCTGGTGACGGTGCTGGTGCCGATGGTGGTGCCAATGGTGGTGCTGATGGTGGTGCTGGTGGATGGGAGGGAGAGGGGTGCGGTTGGGGTGAGGCGGCGAGATGCACGGCAGCTGCGAATTGCCTCAACTCTTCCGTGGACTGCATATAGCTGGACGACGTGAGGGGGGGGGGGAGGGGGAGGAGGAGGAGGAAGAAGGTGGAGGTAAGCACGGGGTAAATCAGCCGGGGGGAAGGTGCGGATGGGGGAGGGGAATGCTGAGACGCAGGGGAATGAACGCAGAGAGGGTGACGATGAACAGGGGAAGTGAGGGCGAGAGGCAGGCGAAGCGAGAGAGGGTTACCGCATGAAGATCTGGTGGAGGAGAGGAGACGAGGGTGAGAGGCCCTGCAGGGAGCAGTAAGGGGAGCACACAGGGAGAGAAAAGAGACAAGAGCATGTATGGGCGTCATAAGCATCATGGATGCCATGGATGCCATGGATGCCATGGATGTGAGGGCGAGTTGGCAGACATAGATTCAGTGCCATGCTCACTAGCTTGGGAAGACTGGGCAGGGAGAGAGGCAAAGGGAACCCACGGCAGGGAGCAGCGGCGGGTGCGCGTCGAGGGCGCCCGTGCGTGCGATGAAGATGACGGGGCGGTGGGGATGCGCTGCTGCCAGGCGACACGCCACGCTCAACAGCACGGACGACAGCCCGCTGCCGTGCACAAGGTGCATTTGCACACAAGAGGGGGGTGGTGGTGGGGTGTGGGTGTGGGTGTGGGTGTGGGGGGAGGGGAGGAGAGTAGACGAGGCAGCACGAAACATGGAAGATGAATCAACACGCGGACCTTCCACGGGGTACCATGTACACGGAAACAGGAGAGAGTGGGGGGGGGGGGGGGGGGGGGGGGGGAAGGGAGCGAGATGACCAGGACAAGGCCGCTGTACGCGCCGAGGCGAGGCGGACGGTGAGGATGTCTCGCTGAGCCAGAGAACATAGTTGGACAAAAGAAATTAGTATTTTCTGAGGTAAATGAGCAGAACAGTCGCAGCAATTTCCCCAACCTGCTCGAGGGCCCCAGAACCAGGCAGCGATCTGATTGGCCATCGCTCGCCGGGAATCCGCGCGTCTCCGGCGCCGCGGTGCGGCCCTCGCCATCCAGCCGTCCGTTACTAGATTGGCTCAACCCAAGCTCGGCGCGTTGCTGCGGCGCGGGAGCGCTTGAAGTAGCTGGCGCCGGGAAGAAGAGATCCGACGCGCGCATCGATTGACGACAGTGGGAAGGGATAGGAGATTAATCGGTTGTCGTAGATGCTTCGCGACGGATGTGCCCATGATGTCAGTGCAGTACTTGATTAGATTGCATTCTGGCTAGTGCGAGGCGTAGAGAAACCAATTTCAAGGTGCTCAGAATGAACCTGTTACTGGCGGATTTGCGGGAGCGTAAGAGAAGCGGTATGAAAAGCTACATGTAGGATCCCTATGATCAACAATCTCCACCAGCCAACACCTAATTCACAAGAGAAAAAAGAAACCGAATTCACAAGACAAACTAGAGAAGATAAATACAAATCAAGGGTAATACGGTATAGCACGCACCACTAGATAACAGCATATGTTTATGACGTTATATAGATACACTACTTAAGCACAAACGAAGAGGTTATTACTTGTCTTTAGACGTGCTTAGACAGAGGAGTTTGTTGCGAAACCAACGACCGAAGCGTCGTAGAGAAGGCACTGAGTCTCCCACTCCCCACAGGCATGCTGGCGTTGCCACTGGGAGCGTGGGACGGGGGTGGAGGAACAGGCAGAGGGCTGGAGGGAACAGGACGGGCTGGAACAGGCTGCAGCAGGTTAGCATGCCCTGAAATGGGCCTGGTCACAGCAGCCGCGGCACCCGCCACTGCCCGCGCCGCTGCTGCTGCTGCTGCGGCAGCGGCGGCGGCGGCAGCAACAGTGGCAGTGGTGGTGGCGGCAGGGATGGCAGCTGTGGAAGCTGTTTTTGGTCCTGTGGCTGGTGGCGTTACTGGTGCTGTAGGGTTGATAGTGGTGCAGACAGCATCGCCAGAAACAGCGGCAGCAGCCGAGGCATGCGCAGGTGTTATGGGAACAAGAGAGGTAAGGGCGGCAAGAGGAGCAGGGACAGGAGGAGCAAGAGAAGAAGCAGCGGTGGGGCCACATGGTAAAGCAG